GAGCGCACAGCCCTTTCATTTCAAGATGTCCTTTCTTCAGAGAACTTGGGTCAACGCATTGCAAACTCAAAGCAGTACGTGAGCCGTTTGGCTGGGGAAGGCCCGCAACCACCAATTCTAATAAACGGTGTTGCTATTCCTGGGAATGAGGAGTGGCTCTCTAGTCTCAGCAAACGAATCAGCCTCGATCTTCGTGAAATCCAAAAGGCCATATTCGAAGGCAACTTCAACGAAGATAGCTGGGTTCCACAGCATTTCCTTGCTCAGGCTGCCAGTAGGCGCAATCCTTATATTATTCCAGAGGACGAGAAGAACATTACCCTCATCAACATGGCTGAGTTTGAAAACACTCACAGCCATGCATACAGCAAGATGCCACGAGTTGATGCTTCCGAGTCTTCCAGCAAAAGCGACTGGGTACATATCACCCTCACTGCTGATTTCGACTCCGAGTATGGCTTGAGCCTGCTCAAGTCCCTGGCAGAATTCCGCGAGGCTAACCCGAACGTTGAGATTGTCTTGATACACAATCCTGTCGCTGACGTGGAAAAGTCCGGCGTGTCGCAAGACATCTTTGAGTCTTTTTCTAAAGCGGGTGACAAGCTTACAATAGACACCTTGCTGGAGCTCCTGGCTCGCGAGCCCAGCTCCATCTCTTTCCCAGAAGAGTCTCGACTATTCTGGAAGGCGGCCGGGCCAATATACGAAACTCTTGGTATAAAGCCAGGTCAAAGTAGCATAACTGTCAATGGACGTCATCTAGGCCCTATCCCAGAACATATCAAATTCACCAAAGATGAGCTAGAAGGACTGGTATCCTATGAGATGAGCAAACGTGCTGAGCCCTTGAGTAAAGCATTGGACGATCTTGGGCTTTTGAACAAAATCGAGTCGCCTTTCAACATCGCCAAGATACAATCATTGGTCGCTTTGTCAACTATATCGGATGTACCAGAAGGTATCTTTGAACAGATTTCAACAATTAGGAGAAGTGACGACGAAAAGTGGAACACTGAACACACTGCCATTGTCAAAGGTGACAAAGACAAGGCCGTGTTCCATATCGTGGCAGCGATCGATCCGGCTACCGAAGTTGCCCAGAAATGGGTTCCTATCTTGAAAACCTTAGGCGACATGGAGGGTGTGCATCTCACACTGTATTTGAATCCCAAAAACAATCTTCAGGAGCTCCCCATCAAGCGCTTCTACAGATATGTTCTCGAAGCCCGACCCCATTTCAATCCAGATGGATCTGTTGGTAACTTGAGCGCACGCTTCTCCGGTATCCCCAAAGAGGCACTATTGAATCTTGGGATGGATGTGCCTCCTTCATGGCTAGTCGCTCCAGAGGAATCCATCTATGATCTTGACAACATCAAGCTCAGCACTATCCCAGCTGGTTCCAACGTCGATGCCGTCTATGGACTGGAAAGCATTCTCATCGAAGGTCACTCTCGCGATACCACCAATGGTGGACAACCACCTCGTGGAGCTGAAGTGGTTCTGGCTACTGAGAAAGACCCACACTTTGCTGACACCATCATCATGGCTAACCTTGGCTATCTCCAATTCAAAGCCAACCCTGGATTCTACAATATTCAGCTAAAGAGTGGTCGGTCCCAGCAAGTCTTCAACCTCGATAGCGCTGGTCCAATCAGCTGGGCCCCTCGGCCCGGTGACGAGACAACTGAAATTGCCCTCATGAGCTTTCAAGGAGCTACCATCTTTCCGCGACTGTCTCGCAAGCCTGGTCAAGAAACTGCTGATGTCCTCGCTCCAGAGGAGTCTCTTGCTTCCGAACTGGTTGGCAAAGGCGCACAGAAAGTCAACCAGTTCCTTGGCAAGATTGGCCTCAACTTTGACTCTGAGAAGGTTCTGCAAAAGGGTGCCGATCTGCTGTCAGGAAAGGCAGTGAAGAAGGGCACGCAAGCGGATATCAACATCTTCTCAGTCGCCTCGGGCCACTTGTACGAGCGTATGCTGAACATCATGATGCTCTCCGTCATGAAGCACACGAAGCACACAGTCAAGTTCTGGTTCATTGAGCAGTTCCTTTCGCCTAGCTTCAAGTCGTTCCTGCCGCACATGGCCGCCGAGTACGGCTTTGAGTACGAGATGGTCACGTACAAATGGCCACATTGGCTACGCCAACAGTCGGAGAAACAACGCGAGATCTGGGGTTACAAGATTCTCTTCCTGGACGTTTTGTTCCCTCTGGACCTCGAAAAGGTTATTTTTGTGGATGCGGATCAGATTGTCAGGACGGACATGTACGAGCTTGTGCAGCATAACCTCGAGGGTGCACCCTACGGCTTTACCCCCATGGGCGATTCTCGCACCGAAATGGAAGGCTTCCGTTTCTGGAAGACTGGCTACTGGGCTAACTTCCTACGTGGCCGTCCCTACCACATCTCCGCCCTCTACGTCGTCGACCTCGTCCGCTTCCGCCAACTCGCCGCGGGCGACCGTCTCCGCCAGCAATACCACGCTCTATCCGCTGACCCCAACTCGCTCTCCAATCTCGACCAGGATCTTCCAAACAACATGCAATTCAACCTCCCCATCCACAGCTTGCCCCAAGAATGGCTCTGGTGCGAAACATGGTGCAGCGACGAGGATCTCGCCAAGGCAAAAACGATTGATCTCTGCAATAATCCTCAGACCAAAGAACCCAAACTCGACCGTGCAAGAAGACAGATTCCAGAGTGGAATGTCTACGATGAAGAGATTGCGGCGCTTGCGAGACGGGTCAAGGGCGAGCAGGAACTTGCGGGTTTGGTCGATGTGCAGGAGCAGGAGCAGTTGAGGGAGAAGAAGGAGAAGGATGCTGAGAGGGTGGTTGAGCATAGTGAGTTGTAGACCGGATATGTGTGTGTGTGTATAGATTCCATGTGGAAAGTCACGGCAGGTGTGTGTTTTGTTTTGGGTTAGGATAGAGATTTGAAACAGGTGATAAGAACAAGACCCCTTTTTATGACCCTTTTGTGTTGTGAAAGGTGAATGTTTTTGACCTCTTTTTACTGGCATATACCCTTTTGTTATCTCTTTCTAGAGGTCTGTATGTTTTTGCGGCCATGGAATTAGGGTGAACTGAGTGCTAAGAGTTTTCTGTGTTGGTTGAACGAATGGAGGTATTCGTCTAGATACTTAAAATATGGTCATTGCCAATATGAAAATTCTGTATCCAATTCTGTCCAGGGACCTCACCTATCGTCAATTGGAACGTCTCAATTTCGCCATCTTGTCGGCTCGCAAGCGTCTACGATGTCAAGCATAAACGTTTTTGTTGTTTTGTGGTAGTTCTTTAGGTTTGATGCTAGCTCAGATGTTGCGTTGTGATCTTCGCAAGGGGTGGCTGTCATGCCAATCACTCTATTTTGCTTGCTAATTATTTCTCTGGTCCTTTTATAAACACACCTCCCTCTCCCTCCTCACCTCTGCCATCCTCACGTTCGCAACACCCCGTCCCAGACATCCACCAGCTATGCATAATACATAAAACTAGGCAGTCCACCCCACAGCCCAGCTTCCTACGCAAATGTCATTGCATCCCTCTAACATCGCAGGTGTAAAACAGGCATGTTGGGGGTTACTCGGCTGCTCCATCTGTGCGACGTCGGGGGGCTTATGTATGACGGCTAGGAAGTTGAAGCGTATCTATGTAACATCCCCGCAGCAGATGCTGTTCTGACGTGATCTTAGCAACGCCACTCTCATGTCGACCCTCTTCCGGCCAACTGTACTTTAGAGTTTTCTCCCTAGTCAGCGTCACTTCACCGTCAACGTCTGTCTCTCCGCGACGGATATAAGATTGGTCAGTATTGGACATAACCACGGCATACCCCAGCAGCAACTTACTAGGTGCAACATAGTAGTAATGTTAGACACAGTCGGCGATAATCTTTCTGGAAGCTGGGCGGTACTGATTGGCCGCACGGGCACTGCATGCTGGTTAGATGTACAAATTCCGGATGCAGTAGTGAGTATGTGGCCTCTGCAGAAATATCAGTACTGTTTCATCTACTGTATTTCTTCGAACGACGTCCTCATGTATGGTTCCCTTCGTACTGTGAGCGGGCTTAACGCTTTTTGTAAGGTTTCGCTAGGTAATCATGCAGACACTTCTAAAGTAAGACTCGCCTGCATTTGTTCCACATATGGGGTCTGGGCTACTGTGGATTGCGCTCTTTCACCAGTAACTTTGTCTTTGCCTGATTAGAGTCAGTCTTCTCACGGCTCGCAAGGATGCAGGTATATTTTCGTGGTAAGTTCTCAAGGCTTCGTATCTGGAAGGATAGAGGGATGCAAAGCACATCGCGATCGAGATCAACGAGCGTGCGAAGAGCTGAATATCATTCCTACAATTAACCTGCCCAATAGCATGAAGATGACATATTGATGTAGCAATTGGGGGAAAGGATAGAAGATGACGTGCATTCTGACAGTCCAACTGGGCAAGAAAGTGGTTTGATTAGACTAAATGAAGCAGCGAAGGTTCAATACATATGTACCTATGCAGCTACTCTAGGTGATAGCGGTTCAGTGAAGTTAAAATCTACAAGGTAGCCTTATTGTCATAGGCATCAAGAATTACCATACGCACACTGTTGACGTGAACACAAAGAAATTCCCTCTTCCTGAAGATCATGAGCTTAGAATAAATCAACCTACCAAACCGGAAACCAATTCTGATCGCATTACCGAAACCCGAATGGTGAAAGAGAATTCTGCAGCGAGTATCAAGCCAGCGGACACGTCAGCAAAGTTTCGCTTGCATTAACCTGCACCAGCAAGTTTACAGATCTGCTGGCAGCGCTCCAGGAGCGTCTACAAAGTGTGCGGAGAGGCGCCTCTAGCCGGGAAAGATTGACCAACCAACCAACCAACCATTCTCCCCTCCATTCTCGCCCCCAAATTTACCCGCCGCTTCCCTGAAGCTCAGCCAATAGCAGGTGCCGGTTTTCAGTCTCATTCAGAGCTGAAACTTTAGGCAGTAGGGCATGCCTTTGCTCAGCCTGATTCTCCATGTCCGCATTCCCTTCTACAACCTTTACTTTCTTCGATCCTGGAGGCACATTGTCAACATGAGCTAGCACGCGTTCAAGAAGCCTCTTTCCTTGCACAGAACGCCTAGAAATGGCATCTCAGCTATGTCTGGAGGACTACACAGTAGGGTGGATTTGCGCCCTCCCAGTCGAGCTGGCAGCTGCGGAAGAACTGCTCGATGAGGAGCACGAGACGCCTGAATACGATACCCGCGACACAAACATCTACACCTGCGGAAGAGTTGGTAACCACAACGTCGTGATCGCCTGCCTGCCCGAAGGCCAGATAGGCACAAACTCAGCTGCAGCAGTCGCCGTGCAGATGAAGTCGACTTTCACCTCAACCCGCTTCGGTCTAATGGTCGGCATCGGAGGCGGCGTTCCCACCGAGGACACCGATGTGAGACTTGGTGATGTGGTGGTCAGTAAGCCACACAAGGGGCATGGCGGGGTTGTGCAGTATGACTTTGGGAAGGCTACCCAGACGGGGTTTGAGCGAATAGGCTCGCTCAACTCGCCGCCTACAATACTCCTTAATGCTGTTGCGAGAGTGCAGGCTAAGCACATAAGGGGAAGAGGCAAGTGGCTGGAATACCATTCTAAGCTTGCCACCCTGCCTGCATTCGGGCGCGAGGCTGCTGGTCCAGACGTTCTTTTCGAAGCGGAGTACAACCATGAGGGAGGGACTACATGTAGAGAGTGTAACCAAGATCGTTTGTTAGCTCGAGAGCCAAGCTGGCGGGAAGCGAAAGTGCATTATGGAACAATCGCATCTGGTAACAAGGTCATAAAGACGGCTACCAAGAGAGACAGGCTTAGCGCAGAGCTTGGTGGGGTGCTTTGTTTCGAGATGGAGGCTGCAGGCCTTATGAACAGTTTCCCTTGTCTGGTGATTCGTGGTATCTGCGATTACGCTGACTCGCACAAGAATAAGCAATGGCAGATGTATGCAGCAGGAACGGCAGCAGCATACGCAAAGGAAGTGCTATCCATAATTCCTCCAGGCCAGGTGCAGGCACAGAAGAAGATTGTCGACGTTCTCTCAAGTCAGTCTACAGGTTTTTCGTAGTTGGCGCGCAAATCAGTACCAATACTTACAAACATGCTAGACCTCCAAGAGACTGCGGCAAAGCGCCAGCTTATTGCAGAAGAGCATTTAGACATTGCGCGGAAGCGGTTAAAGATGCAGCACACAGTAAGCGAACAAGAGTTCGAGGATCGACAGAAAGAGGTCCTCCAATTATTTCGTCTTACCAAGAGCACTCAGGATGCCACCTACGAGTGGTACAAGGATCGCATAGAAGACCGGGTAGAAGGCACATGCAATTGGTTTCTTGAACACGCCCACTTTCAAGAATGGCTCAAACAAGTCTCAGGGCCGCTGTTGGTCTCCGCAGACCCTGGTTGTGGAAAGTCGGTCTTAGCAAAGTATCTAGTAGATCATGTCTTACAAGATTCGGCGACTGTCTGCTACTTCTTCTTCAAGGATCAGGACCAAAATACTGTCTGTCAAGCGCTCTGCGCACTACTGCACCAACTCTTCTGTCAGAAACCAGCTTTACTCAAGCATGCTATAGAACAGTGCGAACAGAATGGTGAGGGTCTAATCAACTCAACAAAGTCACTCTGGGCAGTCTTGGAAAACGCGGTGCAAGATAGTGAAGCAGGACCTGTTATCATACTTCTAGATGCCCTGGATGAGTGTGCCGAGTCAGAATTCGAGGATCTGATGCGCAACATCGAGGGTCAATCTCGCAAAAGTCAGTTGTCTCATGGGACACTAAAATATATAATGACGAGCCGGCCATACCAGCAGATAGTAGGGAGATTTCAGGGCCTGATTAAGTCTTTTCCGCACATCCACATACCCGGGGAAGAGGAATCGGAAGCCATCAGTCATGAGGTTAACCGTGTTATCGAGTATCGGGTTAACCAGTTAGCAAGGGACGAACAACTTTCCAACGACACCAAAACTGCTCTACGAGATGCATTACTTCAGGTCGAACACCGCACGTACCTCTGGGTGTATCTAGTGTTTGACTATTTAAAGTCTCAAGGTTTCAAGAAAACTAAGAAGGGGATTCAGTCAGCTATTGAAGTATTACCAAAAACTGTCAGCCAGGCGTACGAGAAGATTCTAAGCAAATCTAAAGACCACACAATGGTCCAGAAGGTCTTGGCCATCTTATTGGCCGCAAACCGAGCATTTACGGTCTCAGAACTGAATATCGCCACAGCGACAAACGAGACTACGCAGTCTTGGCAAGATCTAGACCTTGAAAGAGAAGAAGACTTTAAATCTCGTCTGAGATCGTGCTGCGGGCTATTCATCTCAGTCTATCATAGGAGAGTTTACTTTCTTCATCAGACCGCCCGTGAATTTCTCATAGCGGATGTGTCACCAACTGCGAGCGTGCTTCAACATGTGCGATGGGAACACTCAATTGCAATGCAGCACGCGCACAGGATTCTCGCAGGGATGTGTCTATATTACATCAGCTTCTATGGCTCAGAACCAAGATCGACGACAAGTACTATAAGGCAAGATGGTGGATATCACGACGCATTCGGTTTCTTTCACTATTCTATTCAATGGTGGCCGACACACTTCCGAGAAGCCAAGTTAAGCAGAGGCAAAGATACTGGTTTGTTGCAGCTTGGATTAGAAGCAACTAATCCGGAGTCTACGTGTTTCCAAAAATGGTTTCCAAAATATCACATTGGGCTTTTCTTGCAGTCGCTCAAGTTTGCACCCCACCTATTTGTTGTGTCGTTTTTTGGGCAAAATGAAGCTGTCAAGATGCTGCTCGACAATGGCGCCGACGTTAATGCCGAAGGTGGAGTCTGCTGCAATGCGCTACAGTTGGCTTCAATGGAAGGTCACGAGCAGGTAGTTAAGACACTACTTAACGCAGGTGCCAACGTTGACATCCAAAGTGGAGCATACAATAATAACGCACTATATGCAGCTTCAGAGAAAGGCCACGAGCAGGTAGTTAAGATACTTCTTAATGCAGGCGCCAACGTTGACACCCAGAGTGGAGAAGACAATACTAGCGCGCTGCATGTAGCTTCGAGGAGAGGTCGCGAGCAGGTAGTCAAGGTACTACTTGATGCAGGCGCTAATATCAATGCCCAAGGTGAAGAGTATAGCGATGCTCTAGAGGCAGCTTCAATGTACGGCTATGAGCAGATTGTGAAGATGTTACTTGATGCAGGCGCCAATGTTAACGCCCAAAGTAGAGAAGGCAATCATACTGCGCTACAGGCAGCCGCATGGGATGGCCACAGGGAGATAGTCAAGATGCTGCTTAACGCGGGCGCTAAGATCAATGACCGCGTTAATGACCAAGGTGGTTTCTATAGCAGCGCGCTAATAGTGGCAGCAGTAAGAGGCAAAGATCGGGTAGCCGATATGCTACTCAACACGGGCGGCAATGTTAACAGCCACATTGATGACCAAGGTAGATTCTACAGCCGCGCACTAGAGATAGCTACAATGGCAGGCTGGGATCAAATAGTCAGATCACTGGTCGATGCAGGTGCTCTTTTGCCAGAGTCGTTTATACAAGGATACCCACGAGCGGTAGCACGAACATCATTTACAAGATAGGCAACCCTGACAGTCTAGCTGGCGTTGCTAAAAGGGGGTGTAACTTGAGTTCTATATCACTCTATCTACTACACAAGCTACGCACCTCTTTACTACTGCTAGTTGGACTAACAGGGCTATCTGTTTTATATGTGATGCAAGGCACGGCTACATGTGCTGGTTATCTCTGACCGATCATGCGGAGAAATAATTTCTTGGATTGTTTTCTACTTTGCTTTCTACCTCGTTGTTTGGCTGTTAGTTGGTTGGGATGGGTTTTTAGCTGGTTCTTTTGGTTCGTTTTTTTTTGATGGGACTTTGGCCACCGTTTTTGTCTTCTGCTTCATCCACAAACCTGATTTTTTGTCTTGCTTTGAGACCCTACTATATGAGGAGTAATACATCTGGTAGTTGATGCAAAGGGTCAGTTTTTTTCGATCTGGTTAGGTTGATTTTTTTACCTGGTTGGGCCGGTGGAGATTCCAGTGTTCATCACGAAAATATGTGCTATCCGAATATGGAGGTTCTTAGAGCTACGTAGATTGCACTTCTTCGTGCACAAAACTCCCGAGAAACTAATTGTAATGTCCAGCCGAAGCTGTAACAAATCTATTATACCTGATCAAATCTGTAAAACTGCCTTACATCTCACATATTATATGTTTAATACAAAGCATTCAATTATATGTAGTAAAAGCAGTGCCTGGGAACCAGTCAACACACGAGCTCCAATCAGTGCCCTTTCCATCATTGATGGTGTTCGTCAAGCATTCTTTGGTCTTTGGGACCCACTGGCCTTTGAAGTATTTGCAGCATACGGTCAGGGCTTGAGGGTAACGAACTGTGCCGGAACATCTGAATGTGTAGTCTGCCCAAGGTAGATTGTAAAGTCAGCGCTACGCAACCCTGTGAAAGTTTGGTTGGAGCGTATTATATTTTGAAGCTAGTAGGAGGAGACGTTGATCCTCCTTTAAGTAGATACAAATCTCGTATTTACCGGATCCTATTAGAAGAAAACATCAGAATCAAATAAATACCCTAGTGAATAGCCTTACTCTCTGGATCACATCATATTCGAAAAGTACGAATGACCACTAAAGATAATTTTTCAATCCAAGATAAGAATCAGATGAAGAAAGGGGATATGGGAGACTATCTTCAAATCTGAAATGCCATAGCTTGGCACAGAGGGATACCAAGAATGTAGGTCCGGCGTTGACTCGGTTCTTCCACGGAGATTTGGCAACGATTACGTCCAAGAAATCAGCAATGAATTTTTATTTTATGATTTAGGTGACATTATGATACGGACTCTTGGGTGGAATAGAGAGACACGAAGTTAGGATGGTATTGTTGTTCTGGACGACTCCTACCGGTACTACAACGCAATAGGAGGATAGTTATAGCGCAAACGTTTGTGTGTACAGGGAAACAGCACGACTGCATGTACGACTCGATATACGATCTTGCTGGAGGTAAGACATGTCGTGTATGTAAAATCGAGTTGACAAGCCAAATGTCGAGTTCCAAACAAGCAGAAGTTCTTCATATCTACCGTGGAGCGATCGCATCTGGCAATGAGGTAATCAATAATCACCAAGTTCGAGACTGCATTGCTCAAGAATGAAGCGTAGAATGCTTTGAATGAAAGCAGGTCAGATTAATGGACGGCTTTCCCTGTCTCGTCACCCGCAGGTATATTCCAGCTGTGCAGATTCGCACAGTAATAATCGATAGCAGCCGTACGCACGCTGTAGCTCTGACAACAGCACCTGCCACAAAGTTCTTCGCATCAATAGACGATGCCTGCTTCAGTACCACTCGCACCTCAGCAGCATCTCACTTGACATGAACTGCACCGCGTCGACCCATCTTCAACAACCTTGCAACCGCTCTAGATAAACGCCATTTGTTAGCCCTATAATGCTGCATTAGATATAAAACTTACGCAGTTACCACGTCGACAATTCAACCCCCGACTCGCACAGGGATCCCCATATCCCTGACCGATAAGCCACGCGCACGAATCCGCAGTCCCAGGTACGCAACCCGATCTCACATCAACCTGTTTGAATCACTTTTCGTCAGTCTACTTCTCTCTTTTTGTTTGGTATGGAAGAAAGATAAGGAAGAATGGAGACTTACAGCGCCAAATCTCTGGCACGAATTCGTATACGAGCACGCAGAAGCGAGGGAAGTGAGACAGAATGCCGAAACAAAATTGGAGACCTTCATCGTACGTCGTTGTTCAAAAAGTCCTCGTAAAAAAACACAATGTAAATTGCTCTTTCAAACAAAAAAAAGAACAAAACAGTCAATTTTGCTAAAGTAATTTCACAGAAGCATAGCATGCAAGAACAAAGAAAAACTCCCTTTTACTTTATATACTACACACGCACCTCTACTAAATTAGTACCATAGATGCACCAATTTCCGAAAATTGCAAAAAAAGAAGGGCCTACCTCGTATACCTATAGGCACTAAGCCCCAACCTCTACTTTCCAAGGCCAAGCCAAGCTTAATTTTGAATGAACGAGTAAGTGAAAAAAACCGGCTAAAGGAAAGGAAATGAAAGAGAGGCGGAGAAAGCTTGTTTGCACACTAAAAAGATAGGCTGATTGTATAGGGTGAATGTAGTCTTGGCCCGGAGTAGGAGCGAGATGAGTCAGTTAGTTACTATGGTACATGGCACAAATAATGTATGTGCAGACGCGCTAAGATAACGATCAGGCTCTTCATCGGATGACTATGCAAGATCGATTATAGAGAAACTCTTAATCATCACGAGTCTATAGAGTATAGATCGTATTATTTATGGTATAATGCTTGCTCTTTCCCTAGCCTGTATTGTTCCCTGGTCCGCGCCTCCACATACATTATTTGTGCCATGTATCATAGTAGTTAGACGACAAAAAAAGGGGGGGTTGGAGTCTCGTGCCGATTGGTGGTGGTAGTGGTGTGAAAGGTGGTATGATGCTAGCCTGACACCTTCGTTACGTTAGTTGAATTTCGTATTAGAAAAAAGAAAGGATTTGTGAATGGATCCATTCAATCGATCTTTTTTCCCTGTTTACTTGACGTCTTTGTCTCTTCTCTACTTAGTCTAATGCTAAGCTTTTTGGTACAAACGTGAACTTATCATGGACCAGTCATAGAGGGGGGTAATGACACTTAAATGAGAATTTAGAAGCCTCGTGTTTAATAGGACTATGCAACAGCACAGGGGTCCATACGTCTGTACCTCCAAGTTCGACTCTTATCCTGGCTTGTGACACACTAAGTGCACAGTCACGTGTTTACCCCTGACATGACTGTTCTCCAGTGCTCTTTTCCCATATCACGTTGCCAGGGGCACTGATAGTTTCGAAACTTGAACATTTTGTTTGTGATTTATTTAGAAGATGGGTAACTCCCACTTTTACACATTAGAATACAATGTAGCCTTGGCTCCACTGCAATCACATGCGGCATACTCTCGACATCTCACGCCCCTCACTAATTTCTTCCCTTCTTTCTTTCTCCCTACTGCACAAGATTTCTTAGGCTCTATGGCTCGTTTGGTAACTTAGCCACGTCTGCCCGGCTACTAACCGTTCTATGCGGTGATTTGCATGTCGAAAAGATGGTGCATATACTTTGACCTAATTTCTACCTCAAAAAAAGTGCAGCAAGCCAACTCCATGCAAGCTACTGCACATCTAGCCACCCTTTCGTGGGGCGTTGGGCACAGCAACCGGAGCGCGCGCTACTCCTGCTTGTACTCCCTTCTTGCGCTGGTAGTAGTGCTCGACAATCTTGCGCACGTGCTTCTCAGCCTGCGCCTTGTCGGCAGGTGCTCGGATGCTGTCGAGGGTGTATGGCGATTGAATCAAAACTGAGTCGCTAACTACAATCTGAGTGTCTGCCCAGCGGGTCGGTAGTCTATTTGTTTGCATGTCAGTCTGAGCCACTGTATAGCTAGGTGTTCACCGGGTATAACTCACGTCCTCGAGATGGCATCGAATAGCTCCTGAGCTTCCGCACTAACGCCCTTGCCCTTTTGCGCATCCTTCTTCTTCATTTCGCGAATCGTCTGATCCTCACGAGCTTGTAGTGCCGCTAGGTCGACCTTGGATATGCTGGGGAGTGCTCCGTTGAAGCCCGGTGTAGACTCAGGCGCCCGTTCGCCTGATCCGAGAATCTCAAAAGATTCAATGTGTGCAAAAGGGATAATATGGTAATCGCCTGGCTGGCTGAGAGCAGAGGCGGATGGGTTCGGCGGGGCAGGCGCGGTGTTGATGGCTATGGCGTGGGTAATGTTGCAAGCCGTGAAGAGAGTGCCCTCGAGGACATTCTTGCCGGGAGCGCATGTTATCTTGATGCTGCTGCTTGTCAGTATACTCCCGAACGGCGCAATCTCTCCATTCCGACGCTCATAGGGGCAAGCTGGGCTTACCGCGATCCCACAGCCTTGTACAGATTGGAATCGGCGTCAATGACGTCCTTGTTGGACGCGGTGCTGGCCTTGAGGTTCGGTGTCGCAACCTTGCCCGCAACGCTGTTGCGCTTGTTGTCCGCCATGGCGAACCAAGGGTCCTCTTTCGTCTTGCCGGGTGCACACGCTAAAGACCTAACGCCAAAGACTCATACAAGCAGTGGATATGCAATTCAAAGGAATGAAAGAAACGAAAAAGCAAGAGCGCGCGCGCGGCCAAGTGGTGGTGAGGCGCGGGCGTGTGGGGAGCTGTTGAAGCTCGGAGCCGACACAGTGTGTTGTGGTGTTTGGGGGGGGGGGTAAACTTTCCGCACTCACGTCGCCAAGGCTTGCTGCGGCGCGCTTGCTGGTGCACCAATCACGCAGGGTGCGGCCTACTGCACGAATTCCCTCTATCTTTGTCCTAATTGATCGTCCCAGTTGATACCAAGTCGGTCCCGACTATGCAGTACCGTTATGTACTACTCTGCCTCATGGCGGGGGGGCATTTCCAAGGGTACATGCTTAAACGATTCTACTTTGGGCTAGCGTCTCTAACAACATGGAATACCACATGGGCTAAAATAACCTCTTGCATTCACCAGGGCACACAGTAGACATTGGACATGTGAATCATTATTCATTCTGGTGTGTGCTATCTTGCTTTGCACACTGATTATTTTTTTTAATTGTGAACCTTAGGCAAGGTGGTGTTCTCTTGCAATAAAAGTTCAGCACGATACGCTTAAGCATTGTATGTCTACAAAAAAAACGTTAGCTTCTACAATTTGACGGATGCATTGATTCATAGAACTTACCGAGGCAGAGATGTTTCCACCCCTTCCGGTCCAGTTGACGTGGATGTCCTCGCCCTGCTTGTATGTGTCGTTGGCGTACTCAGGCTTGATCCTGAAGGTGTGTGCGCCAAAGTAGTCACGCTGCGCCTGCAGAAGGTTGGCGGGAAGGTCCTTGGTGCGGTATCCGTCGTAGAAGCTGAGCGCGGTGCTGAAAGCAGGAGTTGGGATACCCCAGAGAGCACCCTTGGAGACGACGCTGTGATATTGTCAGCAATGTCTTCTATCGATTTTGTGGGTAAACCACTCACTCTCTCCATCCAGCCTGAGCCTTGTGGATAGCCTTGCTGAAGAAGTCGTCGAAAAGCAGGTTCTCAAGTTCGGGGTTTTGGCGGTATCTAAAGACGGTTAGTCTACTGTGCTGAAATCTGCAACCCGTGTGTGCTTACGCCTTGGTGATCTCCTTCAAGAAAACAGATCGGATAATGCAGCCACCACGCCACATGAGGGCGATTTCTGGCTTGTTCAGCTTCCACTTGTACTCCTTGGCGGCCTATAATGATATTAGCCCAGTTCTTCTGACTAAGGTACCAATTCAACTCACGTTCTGGATCAGCATGAAACCCTGAGCGTAGGAGATGATCTTGGAGGCGTAAAGAGCCTGCTCGAGGTTGTCGATGAAAGCCTTGCGGTCACCGGTGAAGCTGGGGCTGGGGCCATCCAAAAGACCAGCAGCACGGCCACGCTCCTGCTTGAGGGAACTCAGGCAACGAGCGAAGACAGCCTCTCCGATCAAAGTGACGGGCATACCGAGGTCGAGAGCGTTGATGGCGGTCCACTTGCCGGTACCCTTTTGGCCGGCAGAGTCCAGGATCTTCTCAACAATGGCAGTGCCATCGTCGTCGTTCTTGTACATGATGTCGCGGGTAATCTCGATCAGGAAAGAGTCGAGAACGCCCTTGTTCCATTGTGCGAAAACGTCGCCCATCTCCTTGTTGGACATGCCGAGACCGCGCTTCATGATGTCATAGGCCTAAATTTTCATCAGTTTCCAATTTCTGTGCTGTTTCGCTGTTTCGGCTCACCTCGCAGATCAATTGCATGTCACCGTACTCGATACCGTTGTGGACCATCTTGACGTAGTGACCAGCACCCTCGTCACCAACCCATTGGCAGCAGGCCTCGCCGTCGGACTTTGCGGAGATGGATTGAAGGACATCCTAAGTGGCTGTCAGATATGCCTCGTCAATTCTTGGGAGACTCCATACCTTGATGTAGGGCCAGGCCTCCTCGTTACCACCGGGCATGATACTGGGGCCGTAGCGAGCACCCTCCTCTCCTCCAGAGACACCAGTTCCGACGAATCGAATGCCCTTGGCCTTGAGGTAGTTGGTACGGCGGTTGGTGTCGGGGTAGTGGGAGTTACCACCGTCGATGATGATGTCGCCCTCCTCGGCACCTCCCTTGAGGAGGAGCTCGATGAAGTCGTCGACAGGCTTGCCAGCCATAACGAGCATCATCATGCGGCGGGGCTTCTTGAGCTTGGCGACAAACTCCTCAATGGAGTGAGCACCGACAATGGACTTGCCCTTGGCCTCTGTTTTTGCTGTTAGTTTTGTTGGCAGGTCGTTGCGGTGCAAGACTTGCCATCGTTCAGGAATCGGTCGACCTTGGCGACGCTGGCTGGATGTCAGTGGGGTTTCCGAGGGTGTGTAGTTGATAGTACTTACGTTCTGTTGAAAGCAACGACCTGGGGACAAAGTTAGTTTTCTAAACTCGATGAGTCGTCAAGAAGAGTCTCGTACCGTGAAACCGTGGTCGGCACTAGATTATGTCAGTATCGCATTGATATCGTAGAGGGCTCGGTAGAAGACTTACGCGTTGAGGATCAAGTTCTGACCCATAACCTAGGACTGGTGTCAGCATATCTCGAGTTGTCCAAGATTCAAGACATGACAATGCATGGCTGGAGAATACTCACGGCCAGGCCGATGAGGCCGAAGTCTCCGACAGCCTCAGTCATGATTGCTTTTGTGGTGAAGAGAGGTGTGTAGGTGTGTGGCTGGATAGAGGGGGATGGCGGGGTAAAGTTGCAGCGACCGGGCTACAACAGTTGAGGGCAATTGAAGCTTTTAGAGCGGGTGATGTCAAGAAGAAGGAAGAGGAAGCTTGGTGGGGGTCTCTGAGATAATGTAGTCGCCGGGAAGACTTTGGAAACAAGCGGGGCAGGCTACCTATTGCATCAATGGTGGCACGTCCCACCAGATCCCAGCATCACAGGTCATGGAGGATAGCTTCGGCCGCGGCGGTAAGGCCAAATGCCCCGTCAGCGGCTCTTGCCAGTTTCGCATGTTGGAACGGAGGAATTGCTTGCGCCACCCATTTGGCTGCGTGCTGAACAAACACTGCTCATGCTTAGCAAGCAGCCTGCCGATGGGGCCGCCCAGATGCGAGCAGATTGGCGATGCCAATGGCTGCAAATACAACGCCTCGCCCAACCTGCTCTCTCTCTCGCACGCACGCACGGTGGCCATGGCAGACGGCCGGACACAGCAGGGAGCACGCGTAGATGCGGCTGCTTTGGGGCGCTCCGTCTTTGCCTGCACACCATGACGCCAGCCCCTCCACCTCAGCCTTAACACAGCATTACGGGACGAGGGGCAGCGCACAGGGGTGGCCGGACACGCTAGAGGGCAGGCATGGGCACCGGACAGCGAGTGGCAGGGCGAGATTGCCAGGCTAAAGGCCGGTGGGGAGCGGGCCAAAGCAAATGTTGTCCGATGTGTGTGCTGTGCCTGCTTGGAGGTCCGTCGCTCGTTAGACAGCGATGGGCGGGAGAGTTGAGCGGGGTGGTGGCCGTGTGGATGGCGGACAGGCTGAATGCTCCGATATGGATGGCCGCACAGCCGCATGTCGACAGGCAGACAGTGCGTGCTTGCAGCGCCGCAAGTCGAGAGGCCGGCACGTGACCCGGGGGGTTCGGGCCATGTCTGAGACTGCGTCCTTTCTCCGTCGCAGACGCAACAAATAACAACACCAAACGTCACGCCGCGCCGCCATCACACGCCATCCCACGCAATTGCCAATTTGCACCGGCCCGCCCTTCCCTCCCACGCCCTTCAAACGCCGATCTCCGACGCCGCCCACCACCAGCCCTGCCACCCGCTTTTTCTTCACTTGCCTGTGCCACACGCTCTGCGGCATTAATTTCTGCCATACAAACGCCCCTCACCCTCACCCTCGCCCTCGCCTGGCCGACTCACTGCCTTGCCATCACCAGCCTGAACTCCCCCCTCACCACCTTGCTGCCTAGACGCCATGCAGCCGCACCACTCTCTCCCCGCCCGCCCTCCGCCTGCCACTCACCCGACCTCGCCTTCGAGACCTAACAACAGTAGCAACAGCACAGGCGCGCGAGCCCAGAGCAGCTCCACCATGTTTCCTGCTTTCACACCGCGCTCGGTAGCAGCCCACGCGCCCCCTCAGCCATCTGCTGCCGCCGCAAACTTCTCGCAAGCCACAGTGAGCGCTCCATACCAAGCACCCGCTTACCCGACCAGCAATGCTTACAACAACTACTCGTACCCAGCCTATGCATCGGGTGCTCCTGCTTCCGCCTACTCGGCTGCTCCTTCCGTGAACCGCGGATATGGCGGCGCGTACGACCCCGAAGAAGAGGCACGCATTGCAGAGTGGAACAGCGCGTACAACGCGGCCGACGCCAACGCAAAGAAGGGCGCCAACCCAAGCGTCGCCGCCCGCCCAGAAGCTGCTGCCGTCAGCGAGGCCGAGACTGGTCTCACAGCCGACGGAAAGCGCAAGACCGTAGTTCGCGAGGGCGGTGGAAAGCAGTGGGAAGACGAGACTCTGCTTGAGTGGAACCCTCTGCACCCCCGACTGTTCATAGGAAATCTTGCTGGTGAAGTCACTGATGATTCGCTCCTCAAGGCCTTTGCAAAGTACCCCTCCCTCTCCAAGGCCCGCGTCGTTCGAGACAAAAAGTCGACAAAGAGCAAGAGTTATGGCTTCGTCAGTTTTGCCGACACCGACGACTACTTCCGAGCCGCAAAGGAAATGAATGGCAAGTACATTGGCAGTCACCCGGTCCTCATCAAGCGAGCCACATCCGAGATCAAGCCTATTGTGAAGCGAGAGGACAGGCACAAGCAGCAGGGCAAGAACAAGAACAACAAGAACAAGGAGAACAAGGACAGGCCCGGTTCAAGCAGTACCCCCGCCGTCGTCGCATCTCCTGCCATGTTCATACCCCGCGGTGTTCAGAAGAAGAGCAAGTCAAGTGGCCCGAGGGTGTTGGGTTGAGGTATCATAGCATTTTTGCGCCAGATGCCCAAACGGACCATGTCCGCAACCACGATTGCCTGCGGCAATCCTGTCATCGGCCTTGCGTCAAATAGCCCCAAAGGTTAGTTGACTCTCTTGGTCTCTTTTTCCAAGTGCATCCCTGTCCATACCTGCATTCTGTTTTTGTTGTGCATTTCAGTGGAGAGCGGATTCTCGACTGTAGACAAGACGGTGAAGCTCGAGGGAAACCTTGTGGTAGGTCCCACTCTATGTGTCCTTACGGAATGATGCACATTTGTGGAGTGGGTGCAGCAGTGCAGCACGAAGATGTGGTTCATAATATGGACTATGGCCAAGGGCCGAAGAGAGGGAAGTGAAATTAAGATGAACTAAGAGACCACAAGTTTAGCGTAGTGATACCCTCAACGGCCTGAATTTAACATGTTACTTTTCACTGGTTCAACAACCATCTCGCCCAAGCTACCTCCTTCTCAAAGAGCTCCAAGTGACCTTGCTTGAGCGCGATTCGAGGCATACTCCTGGCCTATGCAAGTCTTTTCCAGATACTCCAACCCGCTTTACAAGCTACCTCACAGTATGGCGTGTACTAAACAGCCAGCGTTGTTGCTTTCAGGTAGTGTGGTGGCGCTTGTAGTGTGCTATCAGAGCCGTTGAGCCGAGGTGAGAGCATAAGCCGGCCCGTTTTATCCTCGAGATGCGCTTTGGCACGCCATCGCCCAACAACAGAGCAGTGCTTTTTGCTAAATCTCCCCAGCAAACAGGTGTTCCTCGACCATGACTTCCAATCCTTGCCCCAAACCCAAAATCTGGAACTCGATGATTTCAATCATGCTTTGACACAATGCCACCTTCACAATGTCGAAATTCGAGGTTAGCTGTTTGTACTACACTAAAGAAAGCTTTCACATGCTACAGCAAAAGTTCTCCCATCTACCTGGATAGCAATATTGTCAAGATACAGACGCGACAAACCACCTTGTACCAACTGCTGTTGTTACATCACAGCTTCACCACCATGGATATAAATCGTAGTAATTTTTCCTGCGGAGACAGACTCCAACCCAGTCCTCAAACAGCGTTCCAATCACATTGTTTATCTCCAGCAAATACTCATACACAGATTCGCAGGTTTTCAAACTCAGCTGCGAATCGTCTTTCTCCCACAAGCACAATCAGTACTCCTGCACCGCAACGTACCCCGATCTCGAAGATGGCCTCCATAGCCTCCCAAGACTTCAAGCTTGCGCTATCCAAGCACGGTCTGACTGCTGACCATCTCAACAAGATCCATGATCTACTTGTGGATATTGCTATTGATAGTGGCAAAATCATGGTGGCAGCCGAACACTCAGTCCTTGTAGCGGCGCAGTACAAGAACAACACCTCCGACCTCGTCACCGAATTCGACAAGCGGATCGAAGATACGGTGGAAACCCGCCTGCGCGACGCATATCCCGCCTTCGGATTCCTTGGAGAGGAGACGTTCAAGCATGGCACCAAGCTTGCCGATAAACCTACGTTCGTCTGCGATCCAATTGATGGCACCCTAAATTTCTCCAAGGGCGTGCCCAACTGTGCCATCTCTTTGGCGCTGACCCTCGAGAAGAAACCCATCATCGGCGTCGTATACAACCCTTTCCGAGGCGACCTCTACCACGCGGTCAAAGGTCAGGGCGCCTACCTTAAGAACATGCTCACCGGAACCGAAGTCAAGCTTCCGATGCAGCCTGTACCCCCGCCAATGCCATCCCTAAACTCATGTCTCGTAGCCATTGAATGGGGAAACCAGCGCTCCGGTGAAAACTGGGCCCTCCGGACCTCCGTGCACAACAAGCTTCTCACTTCAAAGGCCGAAGGTGGAGCCATGTGCAAGTCCGTCCGCTCCAACGGCTCCGCTGCCCTCGATTTCTGCTACGTCGCACAAGGTATCATCGATGTCTTTTGGGAGGGTGGCGTCTGGATCTGGGATGTCTGCGCTGGCTGGATCATCTTGGAGGAGGCTGGTGGCATTGTTGCTAGCGCTAACCCTGACGACTGGGATCCCTCTCTTGAGGGCCGCGTGTACTTTGCTGTTCGTCATGCGAAGCCTGAGGAGCAGAAGGCTGTGGTCGAGGAGCTGTGGGGCATTATGGGCGATCGGAAGTTTGTCTTCTAGAAAGGTGAATCATCGAGCTGCAAGGGGGGTGATTGATATCTGGTGTTATGGAACTTGTGATAAATTGGTAACAAGGAGTTCATGGCTCATATAGAATCTAAAATACTGGTCAATATATGGATTGCTTTGGTTTGATGCTCATGATTCTAACAGGCTTTATGAGGTCCGTCTTCCTTGAGCGACTGATTCAGATGTTCGTTTGTACAGGTCATCGTTTGCAAGGATTGGTGTTTGTGACACACGTTGTTTCCTTTTAGATTCTTTCATCAGTGGATGGCTCTTTCTCAAAGCCTCGTGGCGAGCTAACTGCAGTTCCCATAATGTTTTGTCGCCACCTGACACTTGACTTGAACAGGTACGGCAAGCACGGTGGGCTACCAACTCTTCACTATCAGTTGTACCTGATATTGCAACCCTCAGCCATCACACATACACCGCAGCATACCTCAGTGGCATCGTCCATACCAATCAATTTGTCCCAGCGAAACGATACAGCTGTTGAACAATACATTAAAAATCGGTACTGAGCCCCCACCAAGCACAGTAAAATTTACTCACAATGTCCTGACTTGCAACCCAGCATCAACATTATTACTCCATCAGCAGTGTCCGCACGCAACGAGGTTTCCACACTATTACCTACCGCTCACGTCATCAAATCGAGGGATACCTAGCCCCTTACCTGAGGCAACTACCTATGTGCCATAGCGATTCTTAGTTACATGCCGCTTGATTCACTGTTTACTACTCGAGGCTCCGAATCTCGACAAACCAAACCCAAAGCAGTCAGAAAACCACTCTTTCCTCTCCCACGATCTATCACCAACCGCAAGACCATTTTTCACGCAGGACACAACCCTAGAACACACTCATATTCAGGACGACCCCTTTCAGCAACAGAGCGATTGCACGTTGCCCGTCAGCGTCTCCGAAAGTTTGAGCAGGCACAAGTTAAGAAGCAAAAAAGGACCTGGCGTGCATCTCGGGCTCGCGCTGAACTGTTCATAGAGCGAGAGAGGCTTGCTCACAGACTAAAGAGCTTTAGAGACGGGAGGCTCTGAGTTTCGTTGGAGAGACCTCAGGGATTCAAAAATTCTTGATGAGCAGTGTCACTGGTGCTGTAACGAGTTGCATCATCCCGGTTCCAGCCCCAGGTGCATATCTGTACTACAAGCCAAGGTCGAAGGACCCACAAGAACTCGGCGAGCTCAGAAGAGCTATAGAGAAACGAAGGAGACAGAAGGAAGCACGCGCCAGAGTCAGAGCTAAAGAGAAGGCTGATCGGAAGGCTGATCAGAAGGCAAAGCAGAGCATATTGCGCATGAGAATGAGAGGGCTCAAGAACAGACTTCGGCTTTGCTAGACACCGTTGGTTGTCCAAGATCCCTTGAACGACTGCTTGCATGGCGAGTGTCCGCAGTGGTCGTAGTGTTCGGTTTTCCACCAACAGGAATTACCAATCAGAATTGGACTTCACTCAGTGGCCGGGAGTATACATACATCCTGGAGATTTCAAACACCCGTCGGAAAGATTCAAAGAACCGGAAGCGTGGGAAAGGGTCCGTAACCGCTTGAAGCATTGGGCAACCAGCATTCAGAAGGAGATAACTAGAAGGGTCGATCTACATAAAACCTCCGGTAGTTCCAGTATTCATCAGCCTGATCCACCGACTGAAGATACTCGTCGTCGAGACAGTGTCTTACAGAGTTTTCTACACGCCAAACGTTGCGTACATGGCACCATTGAACATATTAACATTCCAATACGACCCTTTATATCTTCGAATCGAAATCAATATCAATCTTGATTTGTTAGATGACGCGAAAGGTCTCAGCGTTGGCGAAGACCTGGTTTGCTAATGTTCAAGCAATTGGTGGTTGATCTTGTCTCTCGGAAGTGAGCACGGACCGCCCGCATCTGTGCAAGGCGTCAGAACTGCAGTTCATCAGACTTCACATCATGTTTGTTCGCAGTACTCGCAACAGTCTCGCTGCAGCATCAAAACAGGCATATGTGTGCCGACCATGTCTAAGCCTGACTAGACTTCTTCCATTGGACGGTGTTCACTCTCTCGCTTCGTTCACAACACGATCTATCCAAACTGAAACTCAATCGCCTCCATCATCTCAAGATGGAACTTCTTTCCGCAAGCTCTTGAAAGACGCAGCAAAGCAGCAGAAGAAGGAAAAGGGATCTTCTTCAATCTCTTCTAAAAAATCTAAAAATGCGCGCTTGGAAAAGTGGGAATTGACTGTTGGCATCGAGGTGCATGCCGAACTCAACACAGCGCGGAAACTTTTCTCTAGCGCTGCGACATCTGTCAGCGAACCCCCGAATACACATGTTTCCCTATTTGACGTCGCGTTTCCTGGAACCCAACCTCATTTCCAAAAGGAAACTCTTCTCCCCGCCTTGCGCGCCGCTATAGCTTTCCAATGCGAGATACAGCCTAAGAGCAGCTTTGACCGTAAACACTACTTCTACCAAGATCAGCCGTCCGGGTATCAAATTACGCAGTACTACGAACCCTTTGCGAAAAATGGCAAAGTCACACTCTACCCTCATGACTTTCCTGCCGGTGCGGCACCGCATCCAGAACCTTTCGATATTGGCATCAAGCAAATACAAATGGAGCAGGACACCGCAAAGACCGTGCAGCAACCGCCCTCTGCCCATCTGCTGGACTTTAACCGCGTCTCACATCCACTAATTGAGATCATCACGCTCCCTGAGATCCATGACCCCATGGTAGCTGCCGTCGTTGTTCGAAAGATACAAAATATACTCAAGGCTGTCAATTCTTGTACCACTGGCATGGAGCTTGGCGGTCTGCGCGCCGATGTCAATGTTTCCGTTCGTCAGCGCCATGTGGACTCTTCGGAACCCAATCACTCATACTCTGGTATCACTGGCCTAGGCCAACGGACTGAAATCAAGAATTTGGCAAGTGTCAAGGCTGTCGAGGATGCCATCATTGCAGAGCGTGACCGGCAGATTGATTTGCTTGAGAGTGGAGGTACTGTTGAGGGCGAGACCCGTGGGTGGACTCTTGGAAGTAAGACCACGAAACGATTAAGAGGCAAAGAGGGTGAAATTGATTACCGGTACATGCCGGACCCTGATATTGCGCCTGTGATTATAGGAGAGGTAAGTCATGTGTTGATCTACATCTCGAGACCACTGCTGACTGTATTTAGGATTTGGTCGAACATCTGAAGAACACCCTGCCAAAACTTCCCGATGTCAACGTAGATGTTCTGGTGCACAATTACGGCCTAACTACCAAAGATGCCATCACTCTTCTTTCATTTGATGATGGAGAACGTCTGGAGTACTACATGGATGTCATTACCGAATCGGTGCGCCTAGCCAAAGAGCAGCAGGACAGTGCTTCGTTGAAAACCCTTGGAAAGATTGCAGGGAACTGGTATGTCTAATGTGTAGATTTCTTTGTGGATTAAGGCTAATTCATACCTAGGGTGCTCATGGAGCTCGGCTCGCTGTTCAAAGACGAGCCATGGGATCCTAGCCACGTTTCAGCCAGAGATCTCGCCGAAGTGATCTCATTTGTGCGCCGCAAAGAGGTTACGTCACCATCAGCGAAGCGTCTACTTGCGATCAAGTTCGAGGGAGATGCACGTAGTGTTCAAGACATTGTCCACCAAGAAAACCTACTCCTACAGCCCCTGAGCCAAGAAGAATATATCAACCTGGCAAAGGCACTATTGGAAGAAAATCCCAAAATGGTCAGGGACATCACTGAAAAGGGTCAGGTAAAGAAGACTATGTGGTTTGTTGGACAGATGGTGGCGCGAGCCCCAGATGGTGGCGTTGAGCCTGGAAAAGCAAAGATAGTGTTACAGGAGTTGCTAGGGCTGGATGGAAAGGCTTGATAGTCTGGTGGATACCCTAATATAACTCGTCCCTATTGCTGTGGCGTATTATGTACATATTCGGTATTGTCTGCACTTGATTACCGGCTGCTGCGATCCGGTACCTGGCATTATCAATGCTTGAAGTTCCACCGAATTAATACCTAATCTCAACACAACCGCATGATTGATGCCTAATGGTCAGCCCCCGATAATGCCACCCGCGACAAAGCAATTTTCAGATTGAAGCCTAGCTGTAAGGGTATGAGATAGGTGATGTAATCACGAAGCATTTGCCACGCAATTTCATCGATCCCCTGTCTTTGGACCCAAGCTTGTATCATAAGCCCACATGTTAACATACCAGCTCTTACATATTCCAATCCCATCAATCGAGATTGTCAGTGTAACCGCAATGCTAAACCCTCAGGCCTTGTACCCGGCTCAACAATGTCCACTGAACGGAGTTCGACATATGTCCGCGTTAGCGACCGTGTCGCTGTCATCCGATGTAATAGCAACACCCTCAAACGCAGAATAGCACGCAGTATGGAACGAGGCGGCCTAGGCTGGAAGGGCGAGTCGGCACGACAGAAACTTGCTGCATCTCTCGTTACACATTATGCGCAGAGTGGTAGTAGAGAAGATGTCGACAAAGAATGGGAGAGGGAGTTGGAGCTCCAGTTGAATGAGGTTTACGAAAGAACTGATAGCATGGAGCCTCTAAGACACGGAAAAGGAGCGGAAGAGAAGAGCACGGAGAGTTATATAGGATGGCACAGTCTGAATAGCAGGGATATGAGAAAGAAGAGACTAGAGGAGGTGCAGGAAATGTATTTGCGTGGGGACCGTTTTGCTACTACTGTGAGTTCGCTTGTGCACAATCGCGAGGCAATGAACAGAGATGCAAACAGTGATTTATTCAAAAGTGCATGCTAATCGCAAGACATGTAGATTGGTAAAAAGCAAGAGCGAATGCTCCAACATGCGTTGAGAAGTTTCGCAGATATCCAACATGGGGATGAAGGGATGACGTTTTCATCACACCACTCTACTAGCGACGAGCAAGTCAAAGTATCATCATCATCGTCCAATCCCGACTCGGAAGTCGACGATCTATTTACCAACCACGCGCACTCGAAAGCCGCTCTTCTCCGCAGTAACCCCGAACTCAATACTATCAACGATGTCAATATCACAAAAAATCAATGCTCTTCGGAACCTTACCCCTCCTGCGCACCAACCTCCCTCACCCAACCTCCTGCCACATGCCCATCATCATCCCGCCGCCCCATCACGCCCGCGCCCTCGACCGTGCATTCAAAATTCTCCGTATGGCCTTCTGACCACACCATCTCGCCTACAGTAGCGCATTTGCATACGAATCAGCATCGTGTGTCGCCTGCACTAATTTCTTGTTCTTGTCCGTCCCCGTCTTCGTCGGCATCGTCCCGGAGCCGCAGCCGGAGCGCGAGGTGGGACCAACGGCATTGTCACGAGAACTTTGTCAAAGAGAAGGAAAGCGAGTGCGAGAATAATGACGACGATGGCATTTCCGGACGCAATGACGATAATGTAGACTTTCCGCCCAACCACCCTTTTCACGGCCTAGATGCACACCAGAGACGAAGCTACTGGGACACGTTATCTTGCTACCACTCTGGCTCATCGCGCTCGGCTTCGAGGAATTCTTCTTTGGTGGCAAATCGCAGTACTGGAGCCCAGCCGAATTCGCTTTCTTTTTCACCTGTGCGCAAGGGCTTACTGGATTCGCTGGCGCATCCGCATGGGGAAGCAGCCACGTCAGGCATCGAAAGTGCATTTATTAGTAGCTTGAATCCCAGGGAGGGAAGGCCGGCACAGGACACCATGGGTCGGATGTCAGAAGCGACGAGTAGGGTCGTGAGGTCAGTCAGGAGCGAGGAGAATTTTACTACTGCAGGACGGCAGGAAGCGGGAGACGATGCAAGAGGGAGAAAGAGAAGCGGAGCCGATCGGCTTCGAGATACATTCGGTTGCTGGCCCGAAACATTTACTCCAGAGTCTCCTGCGAGGGCAGTCGAGAATGAGGTTCAGCCCCCCGATGTGGCTACCGTGCCGAAGAAGTTCGGTGTGACGTATCTCGCCAGGAAAATGCGAAATCCCCAGACGATTTGGAAGAGGTCAAAGGAACAGTTGAGACAAACACGCGGAGAAGTTCAAGACGCAGGAATAGCAGCAGCGGAAGAAACCAGAGAGCACGATATTAGGACACAGACACAGACGCAAATCCAGAACAGAGACCAAATGCCCGAGACGACTATCCCAGAACCCAGAAACGAAGACACCACAAACGAAAACAATCAAACCACAGACGCTACTCATCCAGTTCAAATCCCAAACAAACTACAACATACACCAGAAACCACCCCTCCAGCATCCCCACCCCCACTCTCCACATCCACACCCACAACCCCCATTGCCGCCACCGCCGCCGCCGCCGCCGGCACCGCTCTTCACCCACCCTCACAACCCCAAACCCCAACCCTATCAATCCCCAAAACCCGATCATCCTCACAACCCTCACATCAACGCCGCTCCGCCTCTTCAGGCTCCTCCCCCTCAAGCCTCAGCGACCGCCTGCGCACAACCCGTCTCGAAGACCTGCGCCTGCGCTCTGAAACAGCGCAGGAAATTCGGAATCTGATGCTGGATATTGATAGAGATAGGAGGCAGAGCGGTTCTTTTACTTCTCCTACCATTACTTCTTCTTCTTCCACTCCTACTACTACTGCTGCTGCTACTACTAGCGCTACGGCTACCCCTATTGTTGTCGTACCACGACCGGGAGTAGCCGCGGCGCAAAGCAGTGCAGCAACGACACCGGAGTTACCAGGTGGATTTACCGTGGCGGATTCGCCGGGGAGTGCGGTTAGAGGCGCCCTGGAGAGGCATTTTCGCCTGAGGAGGGAGAGTAGTCATGATGGTGAGGCTGGAACCGAGCTGCGATCGCAGGCCAGTAATGCGACCTTGCCGAGGAGTTATCGGGCCCCCGAGATACACGAGTGAGGAGGTTGAGGTTTATGTGCTTCGTTCTGAAGAAGAACAAGAAGAAGAAAGATGCATGGTAGATTGATGGTCAGGTGGTTTATCCTGCTTTCATGTATCAAGCAAGGAACGTAAAGATTTACACGGTATGGTTGACGAATGTTGCAAGAAGAGCGATACAATGACACTCGTTTATTTTGGGCGTAAAGAGGAGGCAATGGATCAGCAATCAGTAGAAGAGAACTATGGGCGCAAGCCTTTGGCAACATCTTTTATTATAGATAATTGTGTAATGTAATGAAGCGATGAGCATAGCTCAGTCATGTCCTGTGCGAAGTTGAAGGCAGATACCAGAATTGAACAATATTCTAAGCATCTAAGCTGGATACGAAGGTCATGGTTAGTGCAGCATAAAATTCGTAAGATCAAGGGTCGTACAGACATAATGTACGTTGCTCATGGTAGAGCCTCCAGTATAGCTGCGGAATCGCAAAATCTTCAGGATTAGTATCAACGGACATCACTTCAGTTCAACATCACAACATCACTTCAAGCAAAAAAGTCGCAGCACATGCCCCAAGTACGTACAACACTCACAGCCCACCCTCGCGGGGCTGCTGGGTATCCAAGGTTGATTCAGGAATGGTCATATTTTCTATGAAACATTCCTCAGCCACCACGCTGAACACGAGTCTACACAGGCCCGTAGGCGCTGTGGACCCTAAGACCCTATCCTTTTGTGTGATCCGAGACGCCATGTCATGCACATCATGTTGTAACTGCTTATGCGACGAGCTGGACGACACCACCAGCCTCCTTGATCTTCTTCTCAGCCTCGGCGCTGACGTAGCGGGCGCGGACGACAATGGGGACGGCAGGGAGACGACCCTTGCCGAGAACCTTGGAGTAGCCGTAGTCAAGGAGGTTGAGGACGGGAGCATTTCCACCCTTCTTGGCGAGGTACTCGTCACGCTTCTCGGCGGGGATGAGCGACCAGAGCTTGTCCAGGTCTGCGACAGGTTAGATCTTGAAGGTTTACATGCGACAAGGCCTCGGCTTACTGATTACGGGCTTCCAGAAAAGGTTCTGCATCTTGTGGAAGTAACGCATACCGACCTTTCCGAAGTAACCGGGGTGGTACTTGTCAATGTTGGTGCGGTGGTGGTGTTGACCACCCTAGATGTCTTGTTAGTGACATTGCATGATCACGTAGGACATGCCAAAAACTTACGGCCATACCACGACCACCGGGATGCTTCCTGTGCTTTCCGACACGTCCGTGACCAGCGGAGACATCTGAATAAAAGTTAGCCTTCAATCCTCCATTGATTTTCCTGCCTCGTCACAGCGACTCGACTTCCTTCCTAATTTCTTTCTTAAGGCGACACGACTTCAGCGCAATCGCATCGATCGAGCGCCTGGAAGAAGAATGCGGTCGACAATCGAGTCGCTTGGAGGGAGCAGTATAGTGTAACGTACGGCCGCGGTGCTTGCGAGTCTTGGTCAGTCGGGTAGGCATGTTGACTGTCGCTGTTTGGTTAGTTGCGAGAGACTGAAAGTTCGATCGCTGAGGCTGTTTTGGTCCAGTGGGCGGAAGATCCTAAGCGAGATGGCGCTAACGACGGTGTACCAGTTTCTCCGATAGTCACGTGTTGACGGGCTTCGAGCCAGCACAGCGAACATCACAGCAAATACAAAACAAAATCGAGGAACGGGAGTGAAAGACTTGTAAAGAAGATTTTGTCAAATTACATATTCCTATCTCGCAACAACCGAATGCGCCACGCTCCCACCTTCGCTATGCAATACACACTCATCAACGCCCAGCACCACTTTTAGCCCCAGTACGGTGTTCGCAACCCGACAAAAGTCGATCCTACGTCAGCTAGATCATCTTTCTTGGGTCGCTGTCCTGCAAGCTGTACAAGAGTTAGTGGAATTGGTCAGCAAAGGTTACTGCAAGATCAAAGTACCTCTAACTGTATATGCCTGTGAACATGCACAAGCCAGTCGACATAGCTTTGCGCCTCATTGTTCCGGTCCTCGTAAAGCAACCGGGCGAACTCGTACTCTGATCCGTCGAGACCTTGTCGCGCAAGCTGAATGGTAAGAGCTTTGGAGCCGCGCGTGCTGGCGAGGTACTGCAAGATGTTTCGCACTTGCGCATTGAGATGGGTTTCAAGAACTGGGAGTGAAGACTGGAACGGATCCAGTACTTTGAGGCTATTATTGCCCTCGCCGAAGAGGTCTTCGAGCAAATTGGGCGAAACTTGTGAATGCAGCCACAGCAAACATACTTGACCATTATCAACGATGTACGCACCACCCTCCTCGAACTTGGAGAAGGATGCTCGTGTACACTCGGGCATGACCAGATGACCCTTTTCGTTCGCAAATCCATCGCCAGCGTCAAGGTTGTGAATTGCGATGATCCGTGGGTAAAGATACAATGACAGCTCCAGAGGCCCCATTGATTTAAGCATCCGCATGTCATGGACCCTCCTGTCCGTGGGCTCTTTACCGCCCTTGAAAGCGCGTGATTTGATCAAACCAAGAATGTACATGCTGAATTCCTTGAGGTTCTCGGGCAGTACGAGTTGGCCAGGAGGATTGTTGCCGGAGAAGTTCTTCCTGTAACCAGAAAGAATGTCGACCGTCTTCTCCGTCAGAGCTCCCCTAATCTCCTTCAGGTTCTTCTCAGTCATACGAGCAGCAGCTTCCTTGGCAATGATGTTCACCACTGCATCCTGGTCGACAAACTTCATGCACTCACCAGTGTTTGCACTAACACTGGCCACGATGTTGCTACACCTTACTCGACGCTCACCGTTTGCAGCTGTGTATAAGAGCGCACTCTGGAAGTGCGCATCAAGCTTGGGATCTAGCTTGCCATCATAGCTAAACATCACGCCAATAGCCTTGTCAGAATCGATGACTCCAAACTCCAAGTCGGCTCCAAATGTGTGATGGTAGAAGTTGCCGTGGTAGGCAGAGACCTGCAGACCAGTCGAGCATCGAACCTTCATCAGCGCTTGATATCCGGTTTCCCGCGTGACCGTATGCTGGACCTCTTTGGAAAGTCTAAGTAGATCCCTGGGCGAATGGAAGTTTGGATAATAGAAGACTTCTCCGCCTGTTGCAGCAGATACATGACCTATCAATGATAATTAGTAGTTGTCACGGGACGGTAATGATATTACCCACCTATTGTTGCAATGTCCAAGTATCCTCCGCTGGGTGCAGCAAGGAAAAAGTCGACACCGATACCATTCTGTACCATCTTCTCGGCAACCTTTTTGAAACCAGGGTGCTCAGTCTGAAATAGCTTCTTCTCGGCGTCGGTATTGAGTTGATTGCCATCTTCGCGAAGTACAAGTCGGCCAGGACCCCAAGTAGGCAGTGCAGCTAAAGAGCACACTATCTTTCCACCTGTTGCTGACAGTGCCTGTAGCGCAGAGTTCAAAGTAGGAAGGAGAGCCGGTTCAGGATGATGGACTTCAGCGAACATGTTTGGTAAATTCGTGAGAAGCGAAGTGATGACGCCCTTTGACTCGACAGGATCGACAAACAAACCTTCGCTGAATGGCAGAAAGGGGTCCTCAAGATCTGACATGACCAGCATCTGAGCACTAGTCAAGTTGGGGCTGAGATTGTAGAAGTGCATCTCCTTGTCAAAGGTCACAATGCCGACCTTCGCACCCTTTGGTATCCGGCTCGTGACTTCTGTCCCTTCTGCCTCGCCTCTAGATTCACCATACAGAGCGCTTAAGATCCCCTCGCAGAAACCATACAAGAAACCGCGGTTCACAGCCTCAGAAGTGACATCAATCAAGAACAACCATCGTAAACCGACAGGCTCCTTGGACCAGTATTCCTTTGGTACCATAAAGTCGACCGTACCGAGGGTAAGTTCAGGTCGTTGCAACCGGTCTATCCGTACGCCAGCCATATCTGTAGGTGAAAAGTACTCCCCAGGGACATCGTTGGGATAGGTGCAGAGATTGCACACAAACTTGTTGCCACCAGATTTGAACTGCACAAACGGATTCATGTAAGCGCGACACCTTGTGCATCTTGGCGGTCCCGTCTCGCCAAAGTCTAGTACCGGAATTGGCTGTTCACCTTCCTGCTGAGCAGCCAGTGGTTGCAAGATCATCCCTAGTGGTAAAGAAGTCGCAGCAAGTGCTTGTGCAGTGAGTGGTATACTGTTCAGCGTTAAGCGTGCGTACTTGGGCGAGGAATTGCCCTGGTCAAAAGACACAAAGGGAACAGTAGCCGGAGGAGGTAGGTGATGCTCCATAGTAGGATATACGTGCTCCAGGTAGTATTTGGCTGGCGCATCTCGCGACTTCGGTACACTGGGTATCTGTTCGGGGTCCACACGTCCCTGTGCCGATCCTACGGCCGCTCCACCTGGTTGGTGCGGTGATGCCGCTGTCCTCGCAGCATACTGCATGGGAGATGCCTGAGCCCCAGGACTGAAGACTGGGTTCGCTGGGGCGGGAAACTGGCTCATAGCGGGGGTGACCTGAGGTTCCATCCATTGCGCTCCACCAACTTGGGGCGAGTTCTGATTATTGAACTGTGTAGGTGTTCCAGTGGGAGACATGCCATTGAAAGCCTGTTGGCTTCCTCCAGGGCCCTCGATATTGTGGTATGCATGTCTGTTCTTCTTCTTATGCTTTGGCTGTGCCACTTGATCCCCACCTAACCCGACCGCGCCCATCTGTCCCGCCAAGTTGTTGACATCTTCGTCGCCCTGGTACTGTGGATAGGCCTGCGGTGCCTGTTGGTTGGGAAAATATGACTCCTGCTGCACCGGTGTGCCGTACTGCGCGGGCGCGCCTGCGTATTGATTCGGTGCCTGAGGAATCGCTGGGCTTCCGGCCTGAGAGTAGCCAGGAGGGCCCGCGGCGACTGGCGGCCGCCATTTGTTCTGTTCATCTTGCATATCCGCACCGTTCGGATTAGGATAGCTCGCACCGGGAGCCTGGTGCATAGGATATCCGGACATGGTCGCGATAGCGCGGGGATGCTACGCTCGAGTCGACAAACGAGATTGTTCGAGGCGGATTAAGCGTGTGGCCGAATGTCAACAGAACACGGAGCACTACTAGCGATATATCACGGGGCGAGCATTCTCTAGGAATTCGGCGCGGACGAAGGGACAGATGTCGGGAATCAAGATTGATGATCTGTCTATTTTCTGGCCCTATGCTTTCCATACAATTACGTCCGTGCACGCTTCCTCACATGCAAGACTTAGGTACAACCTGACAGTCGCGTGCTACCATGCAGACGATTTTAATTAATTACCGGAAGAGAAGCGATACCGAGTGCTCCAATAGAATGACGTGATAGTATTCTACGGGTATGCGGGAACCCTCAAGCTACCATGCATTTAGGTTTGCCAAAAAGCATCGTCCCATGCGATTGCGTCACGCTTCATTATCCACGGGAGCCAGACCAAGTGTATTGTCTTCTTGCACCATGGCTATGGATCTTCGGTATCCACGGGTGCTCCCGCTCTTCTTCGTGATCCTGTCTGGCTTTCCACAACCCCAGTTCTGATAACCGTCACAATTCCGGTTCAAGCGAAAGAAAAAGACTTGCCGAATTCCTCGAATCTTGTCTTTTATTCCAGCTTATCGAGATGCGCCAGTCGCGTCAATACGACCTGTTTGCTCGTCTCTTCAATCTCGCCTGCAAGGAACACCTCATCAAGGATTGCATAGACCTATAATAATCATTGTCAGTCGTTTGACTCTCGCCCGCCTAATGGAAGTGCCTTATCTCCCTTGGACAATGCTTCCCAACAGCATCCCTCCGTAGCTTGTTATACCCACGTACCTTGTAAAAGTTGAATACCAAGTCCAGCTCACACACATTCCCAAAGAAGGCATCGAGCACCTCGACGAAGAAATGTATAGCCTCCAGGTACGCCAGCTCGTTATCGTTTGTATCAACACACGCGCAGAAGAAGAGGCCGGCATATCGACGGTACACGATCTTGGACATGTTGCGGAACTCGACAAAGTTGGACTGGTGCTTTTGGTCTCGCGGTGCGATTAGGCGATGCACCTGTCATAGTTGTGAGCTACTTCAATAGCGTTTTATGTGTACGATCGAAATTCAGGTGGTCGTGGAAGATGAGCGTCTTATCAAGAAGCGGTCGAAGGGGGAGGGCGAAACTACAGAGACGATGGTGAAAATGTTGCATACCTCGCCCTTCAGCTTGACCTTTTCATCATCCTATGTGTTTGTTAGCAAACGCCTTCTCTTCCCTACTTGCTTTATAATGCAACTTACACTATACGGCGCATACCACTTTGCTAGCCGTGTCTTTCCCCTATACAGTTCCGCCTGTTAACACCAAAACAGACATCGGGTAGCACGACGCAAACATACTGCCGATTTTGTATAAGGATGAATGAGAGCACCATATTCGCAGTGTGCCTCGAATAATAGGCCCGGCGCGCTGAAAGAGGTGTGACAGGGACCACGGCTCAGAGGGATCAAGACTCCGTAAGTGTACATGGTCAATGCGCTAGCAACGGATCCCTGCATCGCCCTTTTGGCGGGCACAAGTCCACTTTTAGCCGCAGGTATCACGCTGTGGAGTTGATTTTGGTTCCCGCTTTGCAGACTTGGGATGATACTATATTACATTAATGTTGAACTTAGTAAAGGTATCTACAAGGTTACACCAGTATGACCAAACAGTGAATGATCGGCCTCATACATAGCAGGTCTGATACCCACTATATCTACTCTGCACTCTCGTCAACGGCGCAAAATCGCTGTCTAATACCCCCAAATCGCCCAAAATACCATGTGTGTCGGATTTTGATGTACTATAGGTAACTTTCACCCGCTTCGCATCGCTGTTAGCGCGTGTCTTGGGAGAAGAGGTTGTACGACGATACCTCCTCCTACTCAACAAGGGTTTGAAAGAATCTCCGGCTGTTGAAGAATCAGAGCTATCAAATAGAGTTGAGTCACTTGTGGTGCCCAGAACCGATAATTCTGTGACGGCTATGATCATATTGCCTTTGTTTTCTTGGGGTGATAAAGCGGTCTTGCCAGCTCGTTTTCTCGCCGTCTCTCCTTGCGTGATAACAGAGAGTGGTGAAGAAAGACGCACACTACCGTTCTTCCTCCTCTCTACGCTCGCTACCAGAGCAGTCCAAAGGTTCAGAGTCCCACTCTTTCTCAGAGTCTTGGCGTCCTCATAGTTCTCAGTTGTGGGGTTGCCTTTTAAGGTTGTATCGGCAAGAGAATTGAGTGCTGGCTTGGCATCAGCTTCAACAACCGGGAAGCCAGTTTCTACAGGCGTATGTATGCCGAATTTCTTTCCCCATTTACACTCGGATGGGTAGTCACACGTGTTCCAGCAGTCTTTCTTCTTTGTCGTAATATCTCCATCTTCTGTGTCAGCAGGCAAGTCAGTGACCAGAGCGGCTTTGTTCCTGGGACCGTCTCTTCGCCATCTGCTCCAGTTCTTCCAGCCAGAATAGTCGAATTCGCTATTACAGGCACCATGTTTCTTTGTGCGTCGTACATGGGCTGATTGTCGCCATGCCTTTACAGTGGTTGTGCCGCTACAATAATAATGTCCGTCTTGTAGACAACGCCTTGTGACATTCAAGCGGTAGCTACAATGACACTGGTGACATGTCCAGGTCCAAGGTAACGGGGTCGGTGGTAAATTTTCCGTAGATTTTGTGCCCGTTTTTGAACTTTGCTGGCTATCTTTCTGAACTGATCGTTGCAATGGTACTGTGGGTGTGAGGGGTGTACGTGGTGAGAAGGGCGATGGTGGAATCGACAAGAAAGAAGATTTAAAAGGCGCTGGAGATATTCTTAGAGAGCTTCGCATCTTGAAGTGTGATATGGCGGGTCGGGCCCTTGACAAAGTAACTGATTGTCTCTGGAAGTGTGTCTTGCAACACTGCAAATACAAGAAAAAACCTCAAAAGTGAGGGCAGTCGCAATTGTGGTGTGCTTGTCAGGAAGATCTTGCAAAAGACGGGGACTGACAGATATGTTTGTTTCTTGCTGTTAAGGAGAGCGCGTCTCTTCTAAAACCAACACGCCGATCACATCCTGTCACGGGTTTCAAGGCGATTGTTCTCCTGCAAAGGAATGGAGAGGCGACAACTGAATAGTGGATAAAGACGGGTTCGATAACAAATCTTTGTTATCATCAAGTAGCACCATATTCTGGTGGTGCAACAGCGATTCTTTGTTAAGAGAAGCCATTCGAGTGTCAGCTGCATCATCTTCGAACACACATGTGCTTTGTTTAGAAGGCGCGCAAGTACACAGCACGCACCCTGGCGTCCTGAGTTTATTTCTGCCTCTGAGTGCATGTGCGTATCAGCGGGGTACGATGTTTCTATTCAGGATTGAAATCACGCTATCGGCCAAGCTGTTTTGTGTTGCAAGCCGGCGTGGTTCCCTAATGGGGCGGTTAGGAGCACTTCACAAACCTTACATCTGCGCTGGCACGCAAACTCGCTTATATTTGTTGCACGGGTGTATATTTTCATCCAACTTGAAGCAATGCACGTCTAGGGTTTCACCACATCTCAGTGCAGTGACGTGATTACTTGGCTAACAATGGAGTGTTGCGGAAGGGCCATGGCGGGCTGCAACGCACAGGGTGCGCTCCCATTGTCACGTGGTCTTTATACTAATAACAACGACGACGACTCGTACTAGGTTCGCCCCACGTACATTCCCGAACGCGTGGAACGCACCCAAGACATTTCTCACCGAGAATGTTTCATAGCCCCGATATTGTCTTGGAGGACACGAAAGCCATTCCCTCTTGTGCAATCAATGAAATTCCCTCCCGCACTGCATCCCACCCTCCATGCGCTCCTATAGTGCTGGCACGTAGCAGCCCACGCACACTCCTTGGAAACAAGATCCTAAAAAGGAGCGATTCTGGGATGGATGGCATGTGTACTCTTTGTGAAAACCAACCTTTCCGCTTTTGTAACCAGTTACTAGGGATATTTCGTAATAAACGTTGTGAAGCTCCGTAGCTGGCCTGACGGATGGACGTGGAGAGAAAGATTCATGGGAGCAAAGACACGCGTATAGGAACAGTAAGCACAACCCGGACGGCAGATGAAGCGCATGCAGCATGCAATGATACTTTCTTGGCACGAAAAAGAGATCGTGATATCGCTATTGGTACGGTGTGTATACTACTGCAAGTATGTGTATCTGTGCATGTGAGCTAACAATCACCGTCCTTGAGAGGATTCGATGCCTAGTTCAGCTCTTATGCTTAGCTGCAAGCCTATCGCGGTAGATTGACATCATCCCCACGGCGGGGTCTGGGGTACAGCGACATGATAGGGCCTAGGCGCGGGCGATCATCCATGTGGAGGAGTGTAAGTAAGTAGATAAGCATTAACACTGCGAGTAGGCTTGGCAGCGGACGATAGATCATTCACCGGACGAATCGGCAGGTCTTTTGTTCTTGGACTGATAAGGTTGCGCTGGAGCATGGGTGTGAGCACAGCCTCCTCGTACGTGCCGTTCAGCAGGGACATTACTTACAGTAGTGTGCATCAAGAGTCTGACAATCACAGGGGCAAAGGGCCGATTTGGAAACTTAATGATGAGCTCGTTCCTGAATTATGTATACTACATTTGTAAAAGAAAAGACCAGTTCAGACATCTAGAAAAACAGAACAAAAAGCTCAGCGCAAAGACCAGAGCGCAGGTGGTATCTCGAAACAAATTGACTTTATAAAGTCGAAAGCAACAAAATCCAGATCAATACAAATACAAAAGCTTAGGTCTTGACCTGCTTTTCGTTGTTGTGCTCGGGACCCATGGCAACAGCATGCCTGTCACCACCAATGCCAGTGTGGTCGTGGTCATGACTGGAATTCTCTGAGAGCGCCTTGCCCTCAAGCATCTGGCTGTGCTGGGGAATACCGTGGCGTTCTCCTTGGGGCACCGAGTGCTCACCATCGAGAGGAGCACCCTTGGCAGGGGTCCACGCAAGGTAGTCACGGCGGACCTCGACGTAGTCGTAGGCGAACTCGCCAAGTTGGTCGTCATCCATACCAAGAAGCTCGGCCTCTTCGGACGCGCGAAGCTTCAGACCAGGAATCTTGTCGATGACAAAAGCGAGGATAGCGCTGACGACGAAGGAGTAAGCGGTGCAAGCGACAATGTAAGCAATCTGCTTATAGACAGCGGGCGCGTCGCCAGTAATGGCACCAGCAGGGAGTCCGTTGTTGACGCCGTCAAGACCAATGATGTAGTTGGCACCAAAAATGCCGTTGAAGAACAGTCCCCACATGCCGGCGACGCCGTGCTCAGCGAACACATCGAGAGAATCGTCGATCTTGATCCAGAACTTGACTACAGGGGTGTTAGCAAATGATGTAAAATTAATGTTTGGTGTTAGACTTACTCTTGGTGGCAAAGTTAGCGACAATGCCAGTGGTAATACCGAGGACAACGCTGGCCCATGGAGGGATAAAACCAGAGGCGGGAGTAGCAGCAACAAGTCCAGAAATGGTACCTGAGCACCAGCCAACCATGGACCACTTGCGAGCAAGACGCCAATCAAGAATAACCCAGGTCATGGCAGCAAACATGGCAGTAAGGTTGCTGTTCCAGCAGGCCATGACGGCGCGGAGGTTGGCACCGAAAGCAGAGCCGCCGTTGAAGCCCAACCAACCAAACCATAGGAATACGGTTCCGAGAGTGATCAAAGAGACGTTGTGAGGGCGGAAGTTGAGCATCATCTTTTCCTGGCGACGTCCGAGAATCATGGAGTATGCCAAGGCGCTGCATCCAGACACGATCTCGACAGGACCGCCACCAGCATAGTCCAGGCCACCCCATTTGAAGAACCAGCCGTTTGCGTTCCAGGCCCAATAAGCGACGGGGCAGTATACGATTGTGGCCCAAAGCCAGATGAAGACCATCATGGGGATCAAGCGACCGCGCTCAGCAACGCAACCGACAACAATAGCGGCAGTGACAGCGCAGAATTGTAGCTATAAGCCTGGTTAACATATCCCTTGTGAGGTATGATGAAATCTGCCATACCTGGTAGAAAGAGTACAGCAGCTCGGGAATCAGAGGACTACCCTGACTAGGGGCACCGAGTACGCCCTTGAGACCAAACCTGTCGAGGTTGCCGATGAAGCCATTTGTGGAGGGGCCGAACGCGAGCGAGTATCCCCAAAAGTACCACTGGAAGGTGATGACGGAGGCGGAGAACATGCAGGCCCAGATGAGGGAGAGGGCGGACTTTCTGCGAGCAAGACCGGAGTAGAGGAAAGCTAGACCAGGAACCATGGTCAACACCATGGCCGAAGCCACGAGGATGTAGGCCTGGTCACCCGCCTGGTACCATTGGTTGAGATTCTCGGTGACTACAAATATGCATATTAGCATGCTTGCTGGTATGTGATGGCCTTAATTGCACAATGTGCTGCGCGCAACACGGGTGTCGGGCGCGGCACGTGCTTCATGGTGGTACATGGAGACTTGAACTCACCAGAGTCACCACCAGTAATGGCATTGGTCCCATTGAATTGTGCGGGAGCACCGATCCATGAGTGCGACATGGCTGCGGAGTTTGGTGGGAAACCGCCCAAGTGGTAAGGATGTCAGGGGGGCCTTGGAGGTGTAGGCGGAGGGAAGAGTAGTCTCACAAACCGGGCGTCTGGAGAGGAAATGAACAGAGGATATAAAGGCCGGAACGGTACCAGTGATATATGGAAGCACCAGAGAGAAACGGGAAATCCTACTGTAGATTACAATGGTTGCGCTGGGGCCTTTATGGATGAAGGGCTGACTGTGCTACTCTTATCTATCCTGGTCCACGGACCAGCACTCGAGGCAAAATAGACGAGGGTACATCAACCCACAGGCGCGCGACCGCCGTGGGGTTCGCGCCAGATCCAGAGCTTGATCGCTTTTTTTGCCGGTCGATGTCGAGCTGCGTCATGCATGGTAGGCTTTTGGCCTTATCTCGCCGCGAGCGGAAGCGTGACGGGGCGGGTTAGATAATATGGGACCAACGCCCACCTAGCGGCAGCATTGCGGCTGCTGGGACGAGCAGCCTCACACCGTGGCTCTTTGTCGGCGACTCAGAATGATTACTCGCAGCCACGGGAGGCATTGTCCGCCCATGCCTGGGGGCGGGAGTGCTTGGCGAGTGGGAGGCTCCATGTTGTGTTGTGTCAATTGCATTTCATGCCAGAGATAAGCATCCAACGGCGGCCAATCACGGCCCACATCGGAGCGATAGGCCGCTAGCTCCATTCGGCCTCCTGCCTGAACCCGGCCGTCCCCTGCGACGCGATCGTGTCGACGCCCACAGACGCCCTCCCGTCCCTGACCAAGAGCGGTGATGCCACTCGTCCATCGATGCGATAAGCCCGAGGATGCCTCGTTTGAGCAGCAGTCAGCAATAGCACACATTCGCAATTGCGTCAGTTGCGCAACACGGCTGTCTGCCCGTAACTTGTCCAAGTCGCCGCCGCCCAACAAACCTCCACGAAACCCAGCCTGTGAATACTCGGCCGCCCTCTTTAGCGCTACGCCGTGCACGCACGCCCTGCCCAACGACCGACAGGCCAGCAAATCGCCTGCCGTTGAGCACAGAGACGGCCCTGTCTCGCTGGTACCAGACACGACCGCCCTCACCGTCGTACCAGACGGTCAGCTTCCATCTCCTACTGCATGTGCTGCATGTGTAGTACATACTACGTAGTGTCCAGATCCCGCCATTCGGTCATCCAGGCCTGTCATCATTCTTGGTTCCAGTGAGCCGGTTCTCTTGCCGCCTCAAGAAAAAAACCCTATTGCGTGGCTTACATCGATGTGCCCAGGAACGCCTGTCATATGTCCTGGCCGGAAGTGGCGCGCCTTTGCACAAGCAATTACATATCCCATGATTTCCCTGTCGCAATCTTGACCAGTTAGCAACCACTAGAAGAATGCCATGGGCAGCTGAAGCTCTCGTACTTACTATGTAGTATTCTTCTTTTGCACAGCAACCCTGGCCACCGCGGCATACATACATACATACATACATACATACATACATACATACATACATACATACATGTTGTACGTACATAGGATGTATGTACGCCCACAGCAGGGTCCCGCTGTGGACCAGTCTTTCTTCCACTTTTCCTACCCATTCGGCAGCTCTTGTCGGTAAACTGTCGTGAAAGCATGTGAGTCTCGCTAGAAGCGAAAGAGTGGGGCTGTGTCAACCTCTCCGCGAGCCCGCCACGGCGGCGACGCCTCAGGTTCACAAAGCGTGGGGAAGTTCAACTTGGGGCTCGGTACTGCGGGACTACCGGCTCGCACGCGACTATTCCCGTTGCATTTGATTATTGTTGTGTCCTATATCGGCGTCATTGAAATGTGGGATGATGGTTATCTCTACCTATCGCGCTTTGTGCAATTCCACCACGTTTTCGAAAGATTCCAGAACCCGCCGGCCCAATGGCCGTACATCCGGCTTCGGAGCCCTGACTGTGGGTTTAGAGTAACCTTGGATCGCATCATTGGCGCGTCGGCGCGTCGCACTACCCTATCATTTCTCTTACTACTATTCTCAGCTGACTTTGCTGGCCTTGAGCCAATGACAGGTCTTAAACAGATAGCTTCGTGTCTGAACTGCTTTCCACGTACTAGCTGTCAGTTTACCCTTCAAATGGCATGTGCCCTTTTCCAATAATGTTCCTTGTGAAACTCCACACTCCCAATCCCTAATTCCGGTTTGTAGCATGGCCGTACAAGCAGTCAGTCTCCCCCATTCGTATTGTCTCACCACTCTTCTACGGGCATGGGGGGTCTACAAGGAACACTCCACGCTCATAGTCCGAAGTCAAAATGCCCCAGCAACCTGGCTATCTCTCGCCCAACATTATTGAGCGCAACGTGTCAGCTTTTGGTCGCTGACCAACTACGTGGAGATCTGACAGCAGCAAAAATCTCCACGATGTTCCGAATTTGGATTCGGCGTTTCGTATAGGAAATAAGCTCTAGTCACCAGCATCACAAACACTCCGATTGCTGGTAGTACCCCGGCCTCCCCACTTCACTCCGTGTACGCCTACATGCCGCCAATCCTGGGCAAAAGGGAAAAACTTAAAATTCAAGGCCGTCATATTGGTCAGGTTTTCTTGACGCCCAATATCCAATCTGAACCTTGTAGATGAGGCGGCCACAACAATCTCCCAATCTCTCTGTAATCCAATCAGGCCGAAGCGCGTTCACCCCACACTTCAAAACCCACGCTAACATCACTGCGGCTGATGAATATGAGATCCTGGCTCACATGCAACATCCAACCTCAAAACAGAGTTGCTTTTGAAGAATGCCGTCAGTGGGCATGATCAGACACGTACACGTAAAGGCCCAAGAGCTGCATGATAGCAATCTTGTTTTGGTGAGGTATTACTACAGGGGAATCTTAGAATACAGGGTTGGTAAAAGGAAAAAAAGGTTTCATCATCAGCTTTGCTTTTGTCGAATCAACTGCCGACTGATGCGTCCTCACCCACGCCTCAACTATACGTCTCTCGCCAGAGCCTAGAACAACGCAGTGCCCAGCAAAGTACCGCCCAAAAGTCCAGCCGCAAGAGGGAGTCCAGCACCGCCTCCGTAGCCGTAACCGTACGGCCTACCGTAAGGTGTAACTGGACGCATATATCGCACGCCGGGATTGTAGTACTGACGTGGGCCATATGGGTTGTATCCGTACGCTCCACTTGGTGCGAAGCGCCCATGAGGTGGTTCAATGTATACATCCCTGCCCTGTCGGTCTTTTCCTATCAATTGCGGCTCCCCTGTCTCCATGGCACGAATGATCGCTTGTCGTGTGCGCATATGCTGAAGATATGCTTGACGCTCCTCCTCTGCGCGACGTTGACGTGCTTTTTCGCGCTCTTCATGCGTCTGGCCTGTTATCTTATCCTTAAGCTTCCTGGAGAACTTTTGAATGCCTGTTGGTTCGCCAGGCGCAGCGGCGCCTTTACCCTTGGATGTCGGTCGTGGCGGGAGACGATCCTCAGTATCCGAGTCTTCAGCAGCAAGATCCTCCATTGTCATCGTCTTGTGCATACGAGTGTGCTTTTTGCGCTCTTCCGGACTGAGTGTGCTGAGATACTCTTCGTCGTCATACGGGTGTGTCCATATACTCCGTGGAGGATTTGCTCGTGTGTCTACAAAAAATTGATGCTGAGTCTGTTCATCAAATGATCGGATCCAGCCAGGAGGTAGCTCGCGCATCAAGTCCTCCATAGAGCGCCTTCGGTCGGGCGGAATGCCATTGCGCTCGGTACGCGCTGCGGGACTGTCTGTAGATACGCGACGAATGCCAGGTGAAGGGTCTGCGTCGAAGATGGCAGCTTCGTAGCTCGGAGGGGGCTCGTTTGGATGTTGCGAGGTTGCCATGATGTTTAAAGAGAGAGTTGAGATATCTTAGGTGTAGACGTGTCTATAATGAGAAATTGAAAATACCAATCACTGCGATAAAAGTCGAACTTGGAACTTGCTTCAGGTACGTAGGTATGTAATAGTGATAGCATCGTTTGTGCCACACAGAAGTGGCGAGAGCAACAATGATGTCATTTGTGGCTATGAGTTGTCGGAGTTAAAACCGTACCAGTACCAAAATCCGAAGCTACACTCCATGTGATCTTCGCCACTTTCCTCACGACATGTGACCTCACCGCTACTGTCACCAGACACGATTCTTTCTAGAAGGAACATCCATGCGCGTAATACCCACTAATTTCTCATGGAATCCACACTCCCATGCACGACGCCGACGAGAGGATGTCAAATGCTGGAGTGAGAAATCCATCTCAGCACTGACTCTCCACCAACTCTCCACCTCTCCGCCATGTGCGCTCGTCACGCTTCAGTTTTCCCCGCAGAGTCTCCACAAAGTCAAAAAGCGCGTGCACCGTTCATATCACGAGATCCAAAACGGCTACTCTAGCGGTCGTTTTGACAGTCTAGTATGGCGCGCTCCAACGCTTCCCGGGCCCTTAGACCATGGTGGCTGCACCATCAAGTCATGGCTTTTCGATTTTGACGGCAGAGTAACATCATGAGTATCGACTAGCAAGGCATCTTACTATCCAGGCTTTTTGTTGGTCTCTCGATTTCACGATCAGGCATCGTGTTCGGGCCGTCGCTTTCGGCTATCTATTTCTCGGTATAAAAAAAGATGGAGTCAATGGCGCTTTCGTAATTCGACGGGAATGCATTCTGCCTCGAGAATGTGTGGGAACCCCCCTCGGTATACTTTTGTTTCCAGAACATAAGGGGGCGGGGAGTGCTGCCCAACTCCACAGTGGCCAGGCCAACGACAGTGGTCATATGGCACATACCGACGACGTTCCCGTTAGGACCCTGAATTCTGCTTTGCTTAGCGTAACTTCCGCACGTTGCGCCCGCCTCCAGCCATCCGAGACGATCTTGCCTGGACGCTGGTTGGTTTGCAAAACCGCTTTTTCATGTTTGCTACTAGAGCGGTGAGTCGGTCTCGCAGCATGTCGTGTGGTCATGGGAATCTGCCACCGATCTGCAAGGAACTATGTCCAGTGAAAGATGTGTCTTCGTGACTGCGAGCCCCTTCGAATCTGTTCACTGAGTTAACTTTACATCGCATGCAATTTTGGAAGACCATAACCACAACTCAAACGCCCATAATCTCGAGATTGAAACACACCGCTCTGCAGTAACGGCGAGTAACAAAGACAGTCATTGAAGGGCATCCCTTTGGACCGTGAAGAAACTGCGCGCTTACGCACTCAAAATTGAAGGATGTTAGAAAATTGGTACACTAAATGCTAGAGCAGTCAGAGGCCTTATGTACCGACAGCGAAGACGTACGCACGGTTGAAATCAAGATTATATGGGGTAAACTAGTTGTTGGTTAGTCTAAAATTCTTTACACCTGAGCTCCATGTCTCAGTTGCGAATCGTGACCTTCCCTGAAGTAGGAATTCTCACCGGGCGAGCACGCGACAAGGGGGTAGAGTCGTGGTGGTATTATCAGAGCTCCCAATGTTATATAATGTCCCTTTGCTCTGCAAAATAAACTCCATCAACCAAAGCAGAACCCAGGTGGTTTACAAGATCAATCATCTGCTTCTGCTTCTTCAATCCAGTCTCGTTTGGTCATTTTCCCCCTTTCGCCTACGTCTCCACCAGCCATTATGGCGAAGTTGACCTCTTTCTTGTTGGCTTCGGCCTACCTGGTCTCTTCGGGTCACAGCATCCCACTCAAGGATGCGAAGAGAACCCAAGATGTCCTCCAAGCTCGTCAGATCGATTTGTCCGATGTTCCTGTGACTACAAGCTACAGTTCAGCCATCAAAACAGTTCAATCACCCACCGCTACTGTCGATTCAACAGCCACTGGGGTATTTCTTCATCTAACATATCCCGCCGAGACGTGTTCACTGACACACCGCAGAGCTTTCTAACAGGTCTTCCTTCAGGCGGCTTTACAAGAGACCCGCTTCGTGGTCCGGGCGCCTCAACCGCCACCAAGCCACTGTCTCCAAGCCCAACCTCACTAAAGCCTGGACCTACATCCGTAAACAGGATCGCTTCAGGCGATATTTTCCAGCCAATTGGAAACGAAGCACCTCCTTCATATATCCCTTCTCGCAATGACCATCCTGTTCGCAAACAATTTATCGATGATGGTGATGTGCCAACTGAGACGAACAAGTTTTACGCAAACTTCTTCCTCGGTACCCAATCATTTCCAGTATGGACACACCCATACTCTCTATGCTGGGCCAAAGGCTTTGGTGGCTCTTATGGTACGTCAAGTTGTCACTTCTCGGCTTGAGAAAATTGCTAATTTTGACTCTTCAAGGCATTGCTGTCAGCCACACGGTTAGGGACCAATTTGCTTTTGGACCCTCCGTTGAAAACCCGCGATACTTTATATCACCACTTGGCATTCAGCACATTGTTCTTTCTGCAGCCGAGCTTCAGCAGGATACACAGCTTTCCGTTAATGACCTCGGCAGTTTCTCTGCAAATGCCAACTTGCGAGCTAGTTCCGGATCTAAGATCCTGATATCGGTACCCGTGGTTCAGGGTATGGGTATGGCAACCGCCATCTATGCCGGTGCTAGACCAGTCCTCACCAGCAATGTGTTCTTCCGTTCACTGTCATATGTTGGATCAGTCAATGGGGGAACCTACAAGTACAGGATCGTCCTCAACGACGGCACCTGTTGGCTACTTTATGCTACGTCATCCAGTTCTGTTGGTACTATTCCCTTCACGCTGGACAGCACTGCCAAGATCAGTGGCCCGGCAAACTTCATTGGAACCATCCAGGTCGCCAAAAACCCTTCAGGCCAAGATATGGAGAGCGTTTTTGACAAGAGCGCTGGTGCTTACGCTACTGATGCTACCCTTACCGGATCAGTCAATGGTGCATCTGGAAGCTACTCCATCAGCTGGACCAAGGGTGGCATGACTAGCCAAACTTTGCTCATGTATGCGCTGCCACATCACGTGGAATCATTTGATCAACAAACCCAGGCGGCTCTCAAGAACATCACACTCGTCACCACAACCAAGGGCTTTGCACAGGCCATTCTTGCTGACAAGATGACCATGGTTGAGAATGATCTTCCCACCACGATTGGATTTGCTCCCTGGTCGAAGAACGCCAACGGCGCTGGAGGCACCCAGAGGACTAGCCTTAGCTCACAGGCCATTACACTCATCAACCAAGTAGGCGTTGCTGAACTCAGCCAGGACATGATCCCCCAGACTTCATTGAACAGCATGTACTACTCAGGCAAAGGATGCGCAAAGTTCGCCTCTATCATCTGGACCTTGAACTCCATGACCGGCAACAGCCAATACGCAGCAGCTGGACTCGTCAGGCTCAAGCAAGCCTTGGATGTCTTTATCAAGAACACCCAGCCCGAGCCACTAGTCTACGACAACGTGTGGAAAGGTATCGTCTCCGGCGCCAGCTACAAGCCTCCTTATGATGTTGGTCTCGACTTTGGCAACACTCTCTACAACGACCACCACTTCCACTACGGCTACTTTGTCTACACCGCCGCCGTCATCGGCCACCTCGACCCCTCCTGGCTCACCCAAGGCAACAACAAAGCCTGGATCAATGCCCTAGTCCGCGACTTCGCCAACCCCGTCGAAGACCAATACTTCCCCATGTACCGCTCCTTCGACTGGTTCCACGGCCACTCATGGGCCAAAGGCCTCTTCGAGTCCGGCGACGGCAAGGACCAAGAATCCACCTCTGAAGACACCTTTTCCAGCTACGCCGTCAAAATGTGGGGCAAGACCATTGGCGACGCAAACATGGAAGCCCGCGCAAACCTGCAGCTTGCCATCCAAGCCCGCAGCCTCCACAACTACTTCCTCATGGAGTCCGACAACAAGAACCAGCCGCCGACCTTCATCAAGAACAAGGTCACCGGCATCCTGTTCGAGAACAAGATCGATCACACCACGTACTTTGGCGCCAACACCGAGTACATCGAGGGCATCCATATGATTCCGATCAACCCTTCTTCGGCATACACGCGCCGCGCAACGTTCGTGCAGCAGGAGTGGGACACGTACTTTAGCAATGGGCGCGCCGAGCAGGTCCAGGGCGGATGGAGGAGCATCCTCAAGTCCAACCAGGCCCTGATTGATCCCCAGTCTTCGTGGCAGTTCTTCTCCAACCCCAGTTTCGCAGAGACGCTGGATGGAGGTGCTAGTCGCACGTGGTATTTGGCTTATTCGGCTGCGCTGATGGGCGCTTAGAATGAGAATAGGCGTGCATGTGTGTAGATGGTGGGGCTGGATATAGAGGGATGAGGGGTGGAAACGTATATATATCTATGGCTTTGGTAAGGTGGGTGAGGACCGATGATGAGTCGGTTGCTGGCTCAGGTACATACAGCGTGACATGGTTTGGTTATCATGAACGCCTACGATTTTTACGACTGATGAGATATTGGATTGTTTTGCTACTACCACTACGAGGAGGATTCGACGCAGGATACAACTGTATATATTGCTTTTTTAGATAGTTCCTGGGCAATCGATCTTTATACGTTGAAACATTGTGAGTACTGGATTTGTTGGAGCTGTGCGATTTGGTAGTTTGGATGTATCGTGGTTACTGCTTTCTCTTTCAATCAGAATGGTAATGATGACGAAACGAAGCTTGGAGAGCTGGCTTAGAGGTGCTGGGCCTCAGTCTTGCGTTTGGATCAGAGAATGAAAAATTCGGCAGTCAGCAGTTAGTAACCATGAAAGCTAGAGCGTAGAAAGGGAGTTGGTTGGGAGATGCTGAGTGGGTTGGATGGGATGAAGGGAGGTTAGTTGATAAAGTCAATAGTGTAGTAATGGCTTGGCCTGGTTTTAGGGTTGATTTCTTCAAGTTGGGATTGGGGCCCTGCGATTCTTCGTAATGGGAGAGTTATGCGGCATCATGTAGGTATGTCTGAGGTGTGAGATGTTCTATCAATTTTTGAAAATTGCATTCCCAGTGTTGTACCATGAGCAGCACAGTCATGCCCGTACAAAACAAATCTATTCGTTGTAACCCAGTGTCCAAACGCCATTGAAATGCTAAGATCCTCGTAGCCGCACCGACTTTCCTTGCTTGTGCAAAGCTTTTTGAAGCACACGGCCGAGCAGCATGCATCGTGTATAGCCGCCAGCTGCGACTACTCCATCATGACTCGGCATCACACGCTCCTTCTCAGGTAGCAAGTGCACCACCTAAGCCCAGAACAGCCACATGGCCACTGTAGCAACAAAAGCATACGCCGTGGTCGGCACACCAACTGCAACCGCAGCAGTAGACTTCTTAGGGATATTCTTCGTAGCCGGGCCACCCAAGTACCAAGACCCAATATCTGTCAACTTTCCATCCTGCGTCAACATGGCCGCATTAGCCCCCACATTCGATACGTCGGATCGAAAAGCCCCAAAGTATGAATAATGCGTGATATTCCTATGCATTCACACATTAGCTCATGACCCAACACAGAGACAATCCTTCTCCTTTCCCTTCGTCCAACAAAAAAATCAGGAGATGTAGAGATGGAGAAAGTAAACTTACGGCCAAGAATCAAAACTCGTCGCACTCATGTTATAAAACGACTGCGCCTCCTCCAATGGCTGATTCGGATACCCATACTCGGTAACCCACACGGTCAAGTTGGGCCATTTACTCGTCACCCGCCCAATATGGCTCATCATGCCCTCGAAATTGCCGTACCAATGCACAGGAATAAAGTCTGGGTTGCACCCGCCATTGCACTCGTTGTAGAAATTCTCGAGCCACTGCCACCCAGTTTCCGCGCCAGTAACGCCAGGAGCGCCTAGCTTGACGCCGAGTTCTTTCAGGGGTTCCATTTCGGCTTTCCAGCGCGCGGCGGCGAGGCTGGCGGCGAGGCTGGAGCCGCCCGTGTCGTAGCCGCCGTCGGGCTCGTTGAAGCCGAGGACGTAGCTGATGTTTGCGCCGTTTGCGATTTGCTGTTTGACCGAGTCGAGGAAGGGGGTGCCTTTGTCGTCAGGACTGGCGCCCCAGAGCATAGGGACGAATTGCATGGCGTTGTTTTTGGCGTACTCGTCTGTAGGCTCTGGTTTGTAGTTGTAGTACCATGTCGGCGGGGAAGGGCCTTCTAGCCAGATTTTGTCGTCTTCCGGGTGTTTGTTGGAGGGGACATGGCAGAGACCGCGTTTGGAAGACGATGAGGCGACGGATTGGGCGGTCGTGGTGCTGGCGAGCAGCACCGTTGTAGCGGAGAGGAGCGCGATGTGTCGCATGGCTGTTTGCAAGAGATTATGCGAATTCTACAGGATCGGGGTTTTTTTTTCTTCTTCCTCTTCTTTTTCTAGCACGATCCTTTTGTACCAGCAATGGGCCACGGGTCTTGGGTAATTTCGAGTAAACGTAGTCGTACCAGCAATTGCAACGAGCGACTTGCTCGAATCAACAGGCGTGCGATTGTAAACGACAGATGCAACACGATAGACGGGATCAAAGACGGGAACTGGTAAATCAAACGTCACAATAACGAATGACCCAAGAAGAAAAGCGAGAGAGGGAAATGTAAAAACGACTCTCTCAAAGTCGCAAGAAAGAGAGAGAGAAAGGTATCGGGCGAAGACAAGCGACCCTTTTCATCCACACACCCCAATCCTTTTCCCTTTACACAACATTAAACCACTCCAAAAAGGGCCACTCAAGCCCGCCACGCGCAGCCGTCCTAACCTTAAAAGGAGGTGGAGGGTCCAAGAATATGCCGATACGGGCGGCCCACGCCCGCAAGCCACCATTATTGCCCTTGGCACTCACACTTGTCAATACCCAAAACAGCGGGTACAACGCCTAGAACCACTGTCTAGAACCACTTTGCTACGAACGCGAGAACAAGTCGCTCTTCCCTCTTTTTTTTTTAGAAAAAAGAAGAAAAAAGAAGAAAGGAAAAACAAAACGCAGACAGTAACAGAGAGAAAAAAAATATCAGAACACCAGCTTTCCAAGAAAGGAAGGCTTGGGAAACAAAACAGAACCCCAAGCCATCATCTCGGGTACGTACGCCGGTATGCACTACTTATCAAACTAAGCCCTTCGTTATCGCCAATCCATCCATCCCTCGACCGCCAAACACCCAACACAACTCAGCAACCAAGAAACTCGCACCCCCCTTCCAAACTCAAACCCCCAAACGCGGCCTCTCTCTCTTTCTCTCTCGGCCATAGGGCCTTTTTGCCGTCGTTGAAACCCGCCAAAGTAAGTAAAAAGGCCTAAAATAAAAAAGGCGCCTGCCTAGAAGCTAGTAGTAGTCTCCCGTTCTTGGCACTTGGACTAGTTTTGGTTTGGCTGAAAGAGAGAGAGAGAGAGAGAGAGAGAGAAAGATAATGCACGGGAAATCGGAATTGGGGGATTCTCGCGTACT